TACTAGCCAGAGGGATATCGGAATGACCTTACGAGCCCGAGACCGGGCTGCTCGCATGAGAATACGATCGAGGGATTCTTAGGGATATAAGGGCCGCGGATCCCTTCTGTAATTACTAGTTAGAAGCAACAGTCTCAATTTATCCCTTTTACCTGTGAATCTGGAAGCTGTTGGTGGCGACACCAACAGTTTGTAGTTGTAATCAGGGATCGTAAGAGGAGTTAGGTTGAGAGCATTGTGGCTTGGCAACGGGCTGCGCCTCGGACGACCAGCGAAACGATATTACAGGGGGGATCGATTTGATATATTACGATCCACTGTGGCATTGTTCAATGATCACTAACAGGCAACCGGCTGCCTGCTAGGCACCGGTAAGGCGCAGTCTGCAGGTGGGATTGAGATGGCCAGATCGCGTCTTTTAACCCAACAAACATCCTGCTCAAGTCAGTGGGCGGCATCAACTCTTCACCGTTGTCTTGCTAATAACCACAGAATCTCTACCGAGACTCTGCGTGATTAAAATGGGGTTCATCGCCTCGTCCTTTTCTAACGACTCCCGTGAGCGCGCACACGATGCCATTGTTATCCTGCAATGGGAGAATTCGGTCACTGCCTTGTCGCCGCGCCTGAGGTTCTGGATCATCCGATTCCCTGTCCCCAGCAAGGGCGCACCGAGGACGAGAGAGACATCCTTCCCAGTCCCAACTGCCGTTGAGAAACAGATTGATGAAGTCAGCTCCATTTCCTTCGGGGCCAACCGTCGATTGGGGCGACTTCAGCTGCCCCCGCAGGTTTTGTATCAGACGTCTTCGAGGTCGATCCTTGTGCATAATCTCTTGGTCGGCGAGAGCCAGACGGATAGCGAGCTCCTGAGTTGGGCACCTGGCCTACGCCTACGAAAAGTTCAAATAACCGATGGGTTTTTTGACGAACCACTGGCGTCCTTGTCGGAAACCAGATTTTTGTCCCAGTCGACTGTCCAAGGGGGCGTGGGATCCAGATTGACAGCCGTGGCACATGAGACTGGCGATGGCTCGATATCAGTCAAATACCGATCCAGAGACTCTCACGGCTCCGAATGGACCTCTGCCTGGGCGGGTCACAAGCTCGACTTGGATGGACCCCAGGAACAAATTGTACGAACAGCATCGGTGCTCAATTCTGCGGTATCCTCGGCAGTTTCTGGTTCATCCGTCCCTCTTCACCGCTTAACCGTTGGCTCTACAGCATATACGGTTCTTATCAATCTAGGGAGAAGTGAAGACGGCTCGAAGACGAAAGTCTCGCTTTACACGACTCTGGAGTCTGATTTCAAGGCGGAGGCACAGTCAGTCAAGGAGACTCGCGATGATCTCGGCCTGAGATGGGAGGTTCAAAATTTCCACCTGCCCAGCGGCGTCACCAACGTCGCACCAGTCGTGATAAGATGCTATGAAAAGCCATTCCAGACTTATCTCGTTTTGTTCTACACGCACCAAGGCGCCATGTACTACAGCCACCTGAGGTACGCTGGCTCTGGATATTTTGACAATCAAGTTATCGGTGTTCCGTGCCTCCTGGCCCCCAAGCCGGAGGACCAGCAGGTTGCACAAGCGCCAAAGGCATCCGCCCCCTCTAGATGGTCCATCTCGGTCATTTCTCGCCCAACCCCAAAACTTGCTGAGGCAGGCGAGGCCCCATCTGAACAGGTTAAACAGGAACCCATCTCGACGGCATTGCAGGGATTCCAGCCCACCGTGGTACAAGCCGACGGGTATTTGCGACTGTTCTATGAGGGGCCTGATGGCAATCCCAGATATGCGACTTATGACTCCCTCCCGAAGGAAATCCAAGATCTCGGAGTCGGCTGGGAAGAAGTTTCATGGTCTGCTGAGCCTCTTTTGAGCTCGGAATCTGATGAAGGGCGTGATGAGAAGGCCTCTCCTATTTCGAGGCACTTTCTCCCCGTTGTTGTTCCTCGGGACTTCATGAACATAGCATAAGTCTAAGATCAAGAGGGTAGAATTTCATGTAGGGATTTGTTTTTGTTTGTATGTCTTGTATGAGATGACCTCCCCTGCCAGAGACGCGGGTACGGCAAGCGTGATTGGTACATATTGGGGATGGGCTGACTATGTCTTAAGTAGAGTGTACCTTAGGTTCCTCTAAGAATTGATTTCACATAATTGTCTTTGCTTATTTATACCATGTGCAGTGGCGAGAATGGGAGGGATACAGACAACTTCCATCTCTCTCCAGCCAGTTGAGGACTCTCTAGATCGGTATGTGGGCAGCAAGCTCACTGTAATTTGATTATTCTTGTACAGACACATTAAGAAGTACATGGTGTGTTGCTCTCACATCATGAGACGAGAACACATTAGCGCTGACAGGTTGAGCAGGCCGGGTTGAGCTGCCCGAAACAGCCCAGTCACCGTCACATCAGCACACCACCCTCTTTGATTTGTGGCTTGTTGTGACTGTTTCCATTCGCCAATTGGGCATCCGCCACGCCAGAGCTGACGAGTCCCCTCGCTCTTCTTGATCAAATATTGCGAGAATTGCGTAGGCGCCAAGTCCCCTCTACCTCCACGAAGTGGCTGGTGTCCCCAGCTGAAAAGTTTAGGACTAAATGGGATATCATAAGTACTGGCTTTGTCTCTGTATTCTACTGGGGTAAAACTGGTCATCATCACACGATAATCATTTGCTCCATCCTGCCCATAATTGCTGTCTCATTCAAGGCTTGATTGCAAAGCCTACACTCGCGCACGCATCTCAGCTTTGCAGTCGTAACAGCTATTTCTGCCCGCCATGTCCTCGAAATTTACTCCTCAGAGTAAAATCCCAGATATGAATAGCCGTGGCGATTATCAGCAGACGATTCCCGTGGAGGACGTGCTCGCCCCCGAACACGACCAGCTCCCACCGTCATACGAAGAAGCAGCGGGCTCATCATCAAATTCGCATCCCGCCAGTGCAGGGACTCCGCCCGAACAAGCCGGGGAATCACCAAGGGCCCGTACAATGTCAAATAGCTCTTCGGCATGCAGGTCAAGATACGGCGGATCCATACAAAAGCCACAGGACGCAATCACCCAGGGCTATCAGCCGCAGAATCCCATGTCGGCTTACCAGGACGACGATGCCAAGTGGGATGCAAAACTCGGCGAGCCGGGATGCTGTTTTAGCGAGAGCGGCGCCTGTTGCTTCTCCAAACGGGGCGCGTGCTGTTTCTCCGATAGAGGTGCATGTTGTTTCTCTGACCGCGAGGCGTGTTGCTTTTCCGACCGCAAGGGCTGTTGTTTCTCGGATCAGGGTGGTTGCTGCAATGGCAATAGTAGAGGCTCTACGGGCACTTGTTGCTGACGTTCTCCTTGCTGCAGGAGAGCTTGGCTAGGTTGACGGCCAAGGCCGAATTAATGTATTCAGATTAAGCAGATAGCGTTATGTATTGATACCCTTTTCATGAGACACGCCCTCCTAATTATTTTGACGAAGTTGTCATCAGCAAAGTTGGGAGACAGTGACCATTTATCTCGTCTCATAGTGGAAATTCTAGCATGACATTCTGATATGACGAGCCCCGCGAGCTTCAGCCATCTATCACTGTCAACTATGAAAATGCGAAATAACATGCTCCCTTTGAACATGAGTCTCGACTCCTGTAGGCAATTACTATTGAGTCGCTGCGTTGTCACTTGATAACAGAGCAAAGTCAATAGGACCGAAAAGATCAATCCACGAAGTCGGCATCTGGTCTTCTGATCCCCGCCCACTCATCATCACATCCTCGCGGAATTGGTTCGACATGGTGCTGTAGTCGACCACTGCCCATAGAGCTGCTTCCTCGGCAGGCGTGAAGCTCAAAGTCTGCGCGAGGCTGTTCAAGTGGCGTCCTAAAACCCCATCGTAGACTATCCGGCGAAGTGTCGAGGCCTATTGAGAGCCGTCAGTGTACAAAGGCCGCAGAGGTTGAGATCAAGCACGTTACCATTGTTTTAACATTGCTCCAGTGCTGGCCAATGATGTCCAGATATAGTAGAGCCTCCTCGAGAAGTATCTGAGCCTGTTCACGAGCAAGCGAGACCTCGTCGTAAATCCATAACGCGAAGATGGAGCCTGCGACTGTGATTGCGTAGCCGCTGGATGAGGAGTGAAACAAGCAATCTAACTTGCGCGCCTCGCGAATAAGAGCCAGCATCTGCTGCGCATGAAGCCAGGCTAGGTCGGAAGATCGTTTAATGAAACTGATCGGTGCAAGGTTGCGGCATGTGTTGAGGCGGCGGCGTAACAAAAATGGATGGTTGAGTAGACAGTAGCAGAGATGGAACAGCGCTCGAGAGAAGATAATTTGGCCCTGTACACTGGCTATCCACGCTCCCTCGGCCAAGATATGGGTCGCAAACATCTCATCAACCGATCTCTGTATCTCCAAGTACGCTTCTAAGTGTAGAAGGTCGGATTCGATGCCTGCAAAGTCCGAGCCAGGATCCCACGGTGGTGGTCCTCTGATGTTGCAGTCTTGAAGCACATATTGCGCGCATCGGCCTAGGATGTGTGCAGTAGCAATGACTTGAGCCAAGGGGCACTGCCGCTGAGATACTGGAAGTGTCCGGTTTGTCATCTCGTCCAATGACTGTGTTTTTTTGGCCCATCGGCCTTCTCGCCATGTTGACTCGTCACACGGCAGCTGCACATGACACGACGCATCAACGATGGCCGGTGGTCGACCGCGGCCGCAGGAGACCAAGCGATCCAGCAGATAGACTGACTAAAATACTCTTCGTCTCTCTTCCTGCTCCACATACGAGAGATGCGCCGCGTTATCCAGCATGAGTCCGCAATCCTGTGCGATCCTAACGGCCAGGCCGACTTTGACCCAGGCTGAACCGTGGCGTGACCGACCAGCTATACGTAAAATAAAGTGCAAGACACGATGATCATGAGAGTTAGATCTCGGTTATTAAAAGATGGAGACACGCACCAGTGAAGTCGAACAAACCTAGCAAGGCGACCGTCTGAACTGTCGATATGTCTGCCACGTTGCCGGCTGTAAAACAGTCCGACACGATGAGCTTCCAGGATCTGTTGGCATATTCGACGGACATCTCCACCACGCGCCCTGAAAATTATGGATGCGAGCAAAACCGAACTGCAGTCGCCATGACAGCTAGGACTAGATGTCTAGGAATAGCTTGTTCCGACAAACGTTGCCGGAAGGTATCGTCATGAAAGAACGAGTACGGCTGATTCTGGAAGTAACTAAACTATGAATCAATGACTGCCTTGAATACATCCTCTGGCGTTCCAAAGTCCTCAAGCATAGGATCAATTTGCTGTGGACGTTGGAGCCCGATTCCTTGTTCTGCAGTGCCAGGCCCTGTCCTCGGGCTGCTCTCACGGTGCTCGGAAGGTGAGGGCAATCCCCCACCGCCCCAGTCACTGTTACTCAAGAGCGAAACTAGGCATGTTTCAATTCTAGCACTTCGTTCAGTACAATCCTTCCTACTCCAGGGGTCAAACCTCACCGTTGTAGGCTCGATGCCATCGTCTCGATCTTCGCCTCAAGCGTTGCGATCTTACCGACTAACTTCGAGGTCTAGCGGGCGGTTTTAATGACAAATATCGATAAGTAAGTGGAAGTCAATCCATACATGTGTGTCGGTTGACTGGGAGATTCTTTGTAAATGGTGGGGGTTGTCGCTGCTCGCTGGACAAGGCTCTTGTTGCCTAGCAGCCTGCTGTCGAGATATTTCGACAGGATACACGCAGTCTTCTGCTGTTACACCTAAATCCGCCACATCTCTCATGCCAAGCGTAACTCACCAATGTTGAGCCGCTGGCACTGTCCGCAGACAGGCCGATCGCCAGTGCACCGGCATTTCTTCCGCCTGGCCGGATTAGTTCTCGCTAACCAGAGTGCGAGGGCGCACGAGGGGTATCAATTTGCCTACCAGCATTGTAGGCATGCCTAGGCAATACGCTACACCGGAAAGTAAGTATCGGCTCTACGATCCATCGCACAGCAAGACACGTAGCGGATGCTTGAGCATGAATGTTGTCGATGGATTGCTTCCAGCAAGGCCCACGGTTAGAGATCCGGACCGCTGGGGGGCCGAGCCAGGAAGGGCGTGTTGATCTTGGAAAGCCCCTCACTGTGTCGTATTAAATGACCATCTTGGGCTTAATGCAAGAAGATAAGCCTGGTGATCTCGAACTGTTGGAGTGGAGCCGGTCCGGACCCCGATCACTAGAGTGGTAGTGTAGAAGGATGAGGGGAACGACTCCATAGAGCTTGATGTTTTGAGAAACTAATATGTTCTGTCTCTTCCTTCTAAGACACTCGAACAAATATCAGGAATCCGTCATTGAAACCACAAAGACGACCGACCAGCGATAAAGTACGCACAACTTGGTAATGATGGAATCCACGTGAGTAGCTTTCAGAGCAACAAGGGCTCCTTTTCGCGGCTTGCCATGACGACATTGAGCCTTTACAAACATATCAGAGCCTGAAAAGCTAAGATGGCTTCTAATCTGGCAGTAACGGCACGACAAGCCACGAGCTTCCACCGGTGGTCCTAGACGGAGATGAAGTCAGTCAGACGGCGGTCGACTCGTTCCCCGACGCAATCTACGGCAATGTCGTTTGGCAAACCCTACTATCCAGGCCAAGAACCTGCTCAGACTCGATGTGCGCGGGCATCGCGACTTGCCCATCTAACGGGACACTCGCTCTTCACCAGCATACTCAGGCGGAGATCTACTACGTGCTTGAAGGGTCTGGGGAGGTGGAGATCGGCGGGGTTCGGCACTATGTTACTGAGGGCAGCATGCTTTGGATCCCCGGTGATGCGATGCATGGTGTCTTCTGCGGGCCCAACCAGACGCTCAAATGGCTGTATGTCTTTCCTGAGGGGCGTTTCGAGGATATCATCTACCGGTTCAAGGCCGCATAAGATGCTTTGAAGACTGTTGTCTCTTCAGGCACGAAAGGGCTTTAGAGGACATTGAAGAGAAGTAACCTACGGCTAGCAACCAATTCTATGATCATGACTACTGCAACCTTCTGCAATTTTCTCGTGCCACGTTGCACAACCAAACTAAGGAATGAATCTCTCTCTCCCTCTCCCCGTTCTATTATTTTCTCCTATAACCTTCCGCATTCCGTAGTTTCGTTGCCATGTCCAGCTTGTCAGCTATCCCAAGACCGTTGGTTGACAACGCTAATGCAAGGGCTGTGCTTTCGATGCCTCATCCGTTTGACTGCATAAGGCCAAGGATAAAGCCCACATCTCGATACCAGTTTCGGTAGATCATCCGGTGCATCTGGCGAAAACTGGCTCAAGTGCGGACCGTGCCCGCTCTCCCCACACGCAGATGAACTCTGAGCGCCGAACAGCTCAAGTCGGACAATAACTTCATAAATAAAAAAATAAATTGCCGCATATACGTTCAGGTTCCGTAGAGTGTTTAGGAGTATTTACCATAAGACAAGCTGTTGAAATCGCTCATCTAGGCCTGGTCAGTCGAGAATTGAGCTAAAGAGCCGGCATTCTTAACCAGTTAACATATTCAATTCTTCTTATATTCTTCCGTCGTATATTCTTACAGCGAATGATTCTTACAGCATTCGCTAAACACTAGAATGGCGCACATAATTTCGGGTGACGATATCTACGGACCGGGGACTTGGATCGATTCAGAGGCGCTGCCAGTGCCCGATGATGCCCGTCGACTTTTCAAGGTGCTGGCGGAAGCGACACCTGAATTCACCAATGATCTGTGATTCTGAACACCGTATCTTTCACGGGTTCCCCTGAAACAATTGTACCCGGTCCATTGAAATCAGCCGTTATCTCCGGAGCCTTGCATGCTATGAGCGGCATAGTTGCCAATGAGCTCTTAGATCTCAGGGATGGCCAAACCTCTAGCCGAACAGCATCTGTCGATACGGATCATTCTGCATTCTGGCTGGGAAGTGTTGGCATGAGTAGGCGAAACGGCCAAGCCGTCCAGGAGATCGCCAAAGAGGGCAAGCCAGCTGCCATCTTCCCTAAAGATCTTTAAGGAGATGTTTTCGGAACGCCGCTCAGACTGCGTGCGACCGCAAACTACGAGACCAAGGACGATGGCATCTGGTTTCAACTGCATGGGTCTCTGGGCGCAGATCCGGTATTTCAGAGACCATTGGCATAGACCCGTCCCAAGAGTGCAGCAGTCATGACGAGGCCTATCAGCTGATCGCCGAGCAAGTGCGCAAGTTTGGAGCGCATGAGCTGGAGATGATGCACTTAGTTCAAGGCCTTTGTGGGAGCATCTGCTATACTCCGGCTGGATGGAGACAGACACGCATGTCCAAGGACCTGTCCAAGCACCCTCTGATCAACTACAAGCTGCAGGCACATGTAGTCCCTACACCGGCTATTCCTTTGCCAGTATCTGCGGAAAAACGGCCCCTGGCGGGCATCAAGGTCGTGGAGCTCGTTCGCATTATTGCCGGTCCTGTGATCGGGACGACCTTGGCAGCTCTTGTGGCGGATGTCACCCGCGTGAACTGTGGTCGCCTGCCTGACTTCAATGTAAGCCACGACTATCCCCTCAATCTTGCTACTGTACTCTTCACTTGGTGGAGTCTTGTGGTTTGCTTTTCTTTCAGTTATATCAGCCATACATCGAAGCCAAGGACATGTAACAGTCACTTCAACTTACGCTGAATGCTGGCGTCAGAACCATAGACGTTGACTTGGCCAAAGACGATGAGGTAAAGCACTTGCTCAAGCTTAACAAAGATGCAGACGTCTTCATCCAAGGCTACAGGCCGGGGGTGATTGCCCGAAAGGGCCTCAGCCTTGACGATCTCCTAGGGATAGCCGGCAAGAGAGGCAAGGGCATCGTGTATGTGGAGGAGAACTGCTACGGGCCAGACGGGCCAATGGCTGAGCGACCTGGCTGGCAGCAAATTGCCGATGCCGCTTCCGGGTGCTCCCATGTCACCGGACGAAGCTTGGGCTACAAAGATGGGAGATGCGTCTTACCCGCTCTGCCTGCGCCGGATATGCTCACAGGCTTGGTCGGAGCCATCGGTACTATGATGGCCATCAGAGATCGTGCTCGTCAAGGCGGTTCCTACCACGTGTTTGCTTCTCTCATGGCCGCGGCTGCCCTTCATTTAAGCCTTGAGGTTGGGCCATACTCACCAGAGGTAGTACAGGGCTACAATCAGAAGTTTGGTTGGGACGAAACTGGTCCTGAGCTCTTTGTGCTGGAGCTTTTGGATGTCGTACTGAAATCATGGGGTCGAGCGATGCCGAAATATTCCGGGGAAGACTCACCGTATATGTCTACCTTGAAAGGTGACTGGGGCGAATTTCAGATGTTGAAACCCGTCATTCAGTTAAGCGATGTAAACCCGTCGCCATACTTCTCATCCGCTCCCGAGCCTAACTGCTATCGCAGCAGTGGTGCAATAGCGTGGCGATAGAAAGGCCTGTTGTATATTCCGTAGAGCTTTGCTTCCGGGAAATCAGCTTGAGACGGCTTGGCTGAGCCTAAGAACATACAAGAGCATGCAGAAGTAAACAATGACCTTTCATTTGCCACAACTGCTTTTATAAGCCACTTACGTGCGGATGACCTGGGTCAATGATAAACCAACAAGATGGCTTTTCGTGTATAAATGTGATAGCGTCAGAGCTGTAACCAAGATCAAGCCAAGGCAACATGCCATTCTTTGTTTTAGAAAAAAATAAAAGAAGAAAAAAAAGGATTGAAGCAGACAGAATTAAGTAATGGTAGATATGGGAGTCGCATTCTTGGATCTATCTCCTACTGAATTCTATATTCGAGGGCTGTTTTGGCATTCCATCTCGATAACAAGTTTGCCCATTTGGCTTCCAGCTTTCATTTCGTCAAAGAGTTCATCAATGGCCCTGAGGTTGCTCAGCCCTTAGACTGTTCTGCTGATCACTAGTCTAATTCCCTTGGGGTCGACGAAGGCGACCATGTCCCGAAACTCTTGCCTGGAGCCCATCGTGGTTCCCTTTAACTCTGCGTTCAGAAGAACGGCCGGCATAGTCCAGTTCATCTTTGGGGCGACGGTCATGCCATATTGGACAATGACACCACCAGGCTTGAGAAGCTTTACAGCTTTGCTGACGATATTACCCCCTGCTCCATCGATAACAGCATCAATATACGGCCTCGATGATGGAAGTTGCTGGCAAATATCGGCTTCCCATTTTTCCTCTTTGTATATTGCACCGCCTTGGGCTCCCAAACTCCTGGCTCTGTCAAGCTTTTCCTGACTACCAGAGGTAACAAAGACATTGAGGCCCATAGCCGCGCCGAACTGTAAAGCTGTAATAGCAACGCCATCTCCGATGCCTGTGATTAAGACGTTCTGTCCTGGTTGAACAGCAGCTGTGGTACTCAATGCCCGCCAGGCTGTGAGTCCAACCAGTGGGAGAGCGGCACCCTCCACGGCAGACAGATGCTTCGGGGCCTGTACAACCTCGTCCTGGTGAACGCAAACGTAGTCTTGCGCTGTGCCCACATTGTGGAGACGGGTTGATCCAGTGATAGACCACTTTTTAGGGTCCTCTGGACTAGCTGGGTCTGATATCCAGCCTCGCATAGGTGTTAAGAGGACGTTTCGCCCAAGGAGAGAGCGGTCATTAACCCCTCTCCCAAGCCCAGCAATTACTCCATAACCGTCCGATAGCATTGGGTTGTCGAGGGATACGGCGGGGTACTGGTGATGCCGAACGAACAGGCGCGGTGGTTCAGCGCAGCCGCCTTGAGTCGGACGACGACCTCATTGTCTCCGGGGACAGGTATCTCAACCTCCTTGAGCTGTAGACTGCAAAAGAATCAATATTGTTCGTTGAATGCCTCTTAGAAGTTAGGATGGCTCTTACAGGTAGTATACTTCCCCAGGCTTGCCTACAGCCTGACCGAGATGGAGCACGCGGGGCATAGCTACTCCCAATGCTTTGGAGACCTTGAATATAGTGCCACTACCTGACGCTGATCCTTAGGAGGTAGTTTTTTAAGACGATATAAAGGCGCTGGATCGGCTATTAGTGTTTATGAAGAGCCGAAGCGTGGCTTGCGCCGGACCGTGCCCATCAATCATTCGTTCATCATCTCAGTGGGTACGGTCCGGCGACGATGGCCGTGGGATTCCAAGACTCTAGACCCGGACCCTATTAGATTCGCGTGAATGTGGGGTGGCCCCTTACGACTGTAGGCTAAATCTTTGAGTGTCGGCCAATTCTTCAGATAGTATAGCTGAGGAAAGCCGCAAGAGACCATCGCTTACGTCTTGGTAGATCATTTGCTCGCCATGTCTAGAACCATATGTAAGCACACGATTCCCTAGTCTTTACCTCGCTATTAAAGAGTGTCATGTATAATACGCGCCGTTTCTCCAAGTCCCAAATATACTATAAGAAAATTTCATCATAAAGTAAAACGCAGCAATAGGAGAGTTTAAACTATAGAAGCTCCAAGGCAGCATCGTTTACGGCTTGGTAGATTATTGGCTCACCATTTTTAGAATAAAGTCTAATTCGAACACATTCTTTTATCTAACTGGAGTTGTCGGCCCAAGAAATAATGGGCAGCATACTCATGCCAGCTTGGACGACTACTGAAGTAGACCAAGACGAATAATGAATAATTTCAAAACTAAGCTCATGCGGCAATGGTAATTCATAACCCTCAAAAGGACCACAGCGTTTCCTCAAATAAGGTAGAATGCTGGGAGGCGACGTTATGGTTGGTCTTTGCAAAATCGGGAAGCTGAATGCGAGACGAGATGGTCTTTTTCTTAGTTGAAACGTGACTAACCCCAACACAGCAGCTGTCTTGGAACAACAACTCAGCCCCGTTTTCTCGCCAATAACATGCTTTAAATCTTGGCATTTAGTACAATCATGGCATGTTTTACACACTGACCATTGAATCTGCTTCATCCTTCTGTCCATGCCACCCTCTCGTTGGGGGCGGCTGGCGCGCTGATCAGGTGTTATGGTCCGGGTTTCATCCAACCGCTACTCTGCCCCCAGGTTGTATGCCAGGAGTGAATGACAAAGACAATGCTACCGTCTGCTTCCAAATACATTTTACGCAACATCAATCCATGCACGTGCCGCATTTATCACTGTGCTTTTGGCACCAATCTAAGCATATTGCAATGCCACTGGCAATTAGGCAGGAGGCAAAGCATGTTGGTAGCAAGGCTTCAAAATGCGTTGGGCTGGACCAGTCGATGTAATAGTAATCCCCAAGGATGCTCTTAGTCACCAAACAGCTGCCTCGTTATGTTTCGGGTTGTATTGTAATGAACCTGTAAGAAAGAAGTTCTGTCTTCATTCTCTACTAGTCACTTTAACCAACTTCAACATAGTTAATTTTAAAGACAACATCTCTGAGCTAGACACACAACTGCTGTAAAGACTTGTTCCTCTTTTGGTGCAAAGTAGTGTACGCTTCTCGCAGCACAATTGGTGAAAATGAAGGAGGCGACCAACAGTTCCTCGAACTTGAAACTCGCTCGGCGCCACATAGACCCCCTGGTCCGTCACCAACCGTGGGGTCCCTTGTCATGCCCAGCACACCGGCACGAATCATCCGTCCGATCACACCTGGGCAACTCAACCCTTCCATCAGATCAATTTAAGACTGGCGCGATGGTCGCTTTCCAAAGACGTCGATTGTGGGAATCAAATCCAGCTCTTCTATTCATTCTTTTCTTTAGTTACCTAGTGTAACTTCTTTCATTCATTCCAACCCTTCATTCATTCAATCTACTCCATCTCACAAACGCCTACCACAAGCAGAGCAAAATGGTCTCCACACGAGCATCGCTGGTTTCGGTTCTCTTGGCGGCTGCTGCCCCGGCCATTGCCCGCGACGTGCCTTCCAACGTCAGACAGTTCTATGACAACATCACTTCAAAGTCGTCATGTCAAAACACACTCGCCGGGGGCTTCTATAGCAAGGATGGCGATAGCGGAAGTACGACTTTCCAGTCCCCAAAACCGAGCTTGTTCCGTTTTCATCACCGGAGGTACTGACTATCTCATAGATGCTGCCTACTGTGGCGACAAGCTGGACTCGGGCGTCATCTTCCTCAAGGGCAACGGAAAGACACTAGTCAACATGGACATTGACTGTGACGGTGCCCAGAACGGCCCAGCCGACGACGGCCGTTGCGGCAACTCGGGCGACACGCAGTCCATCACCTCATTCCAGTCCACTATCAAGTCCTACGGCGCTGGGATCAACGACGTCGACGCCTACATCCACCCATATGTCGTCTTCGGAAACGAGGGAAGCAAGCCCGGCTGGGCTACTTTTAACCCCGAGCAATATGGAATCGAGCCTCTCAGTCTTATGGCTGTCGTTTGCGGCAACCAGCTTGTAAGTAAATATTCTTGCAAAATTATCTCTATTAGGCATGTAAAACTAACAACAAGGGTGCAGATCTATGGTGTCTGGGCCGATGAGAACGGTGACGACGGCGAATACCCCGTGGTTGGCGAAGCATCCATCTCCCTAGCCACCGCTTGCTACGGCAAGGACGCTGTTGATGGCAACACAGCCCACGACGAGGACGACGTTCTATACATTGCCTTCACGGGCTCAGAGGCTGTTCCGGGTGCCAGTGGCGCCAAGTGGAACGCCAAGAGCTTCTCCGAGTTCGAGAGCAGCGTCCAGTCCCTGGGAGACAAGTTGATCCAGCGAATCAGTGCCTAAACAACTACCGACTAGCGATTATGACGGAAATGACAATTCTGTTGGCCTAGCTGGGATTTAAGTACAGGGACTTGATTCTGTCACATGCAGGAAGCCCAGGCAGGCAGAGTGAAATGTAAAACCACGCTGGCTCGTGTTAGCTGTACAATAGAGAAATAACCCTTTTTCACCATCGAGAATATGAAACTAATCTCAGCTTGATCCAGAATGCTAGCCGCCTGCTGTGAGAATTGGCTGGTGTGTGCTTTGAAAAACCAAAGTATCCAGGCTGGCAGCTCATAGATTATACCCCCTCGATCGTGCGCATAGTCGTAGAATTACCCAGCATCACCGACGGAAGGTCTGTGATTCAGAACAAGTTAAGCAAGAAACTCAATTAGACGCTAACGAGGTCAGTTAAGCTGGTTCGCTTTCCAGTCTTGCGCTGAACAAAACCAAAAATTGAAGCTCATATCAAATCCTTAATCATAACGCTGTAAATACATAAAGCAGAACATTCCACAAGGTCGTTCTTGCGTTATTCCTGGATGGAGCACTGGCACACATCCCTCATACCCATTTAGCAGATCAAAGTCCAACACCTCGCGAAGCACATTCACTAACCGGCCAGCAGCTGTTATCATCAATCAATTATGATGGGAATCTTTCGCTTCGTGCCTGCGAACGATGTCGAAGAAGCCTGTGCACTGGTCTCCGGCTCCCAGTCGACGATGAGGTGCCTCATCTGCGTGATGGAAGTGTACTCCTCTCCCAGGAGCTGAAGAAGCTGGCCCTGATCAAGGTCGCCCAGCACCTTGTGCGCCCATTCATATCGAACTTTCCAATTACGTCGCGCCTGTTCATTCTGCTTGTTCGTCTTCGTCACGATGAGTGTCTGGGGGCTGCCAACACGCTCCGTCTCATGAGTGCAGTCGATATGATGACGATCGATTTGGTTGTGCAAGTGTTGACGCCGCTTCTTGGCAACGGGAAACCGGCCAACTCGCTGTGTAGCGCTGGAGAGGAAGTGGTTCAGATGGTTGCAGTCGGCGCAGGTGCATGGTACACCGGGCCGAGAGAGAGAGACGTTCTTGGGGGGCTGGCGCTTCACGAAGTTGTTTAGAAACGCGTGATGGAACTTTGTGAACAGCTGCTGGTATCTGGGGGTATCGAGAGGTATCTCATGTCTAACGAGCACTTTGATGAGACCGTGAAGGACGGGCATCCACAAACTAAACGACGTGGCTGGAAGTTTCGAGGCTTGCTCAACGAACCTAGACGCAAAAGATTCCATCAAATCGCCGCTAGAATCGATTTTGAGAATATGGCCGAGGAATGCGAGTATTTGACCGCCATTTACAATTGTCTGCTCATCAGATTCGGCAGCTCCACCGTTACGGGCCTGTCGAAACCTTCTGGTGTCGTCCGGCTCCCTTGGTTGCACTTTGAGAGCCGGAAACTCAACTGACGAGAGGAATAGTTTAGCCACATCTCTATACGTTGATGGTCCCTTCTCAGACAGCTTCGGTTCAGAAGCTATCTCCTTCTTTAGGCTGCGAAGAAAAGCCAGATAGAATGCTGGCACATCAGACCTGTCTTTTATTATCGGTGCAACACTATAACTTAATCAATACGGCGCAAGTTAATTATCTGGGGGATCACTTACGAGGTTGAGAAGAACTCGAGGGGGTCCTCGAAATAGAGAAGGATGCTGCACAAGGCTTCTCCATCCTTGGAGGCCAATGGCTTACGAAGCCTTTCTTCCAAACAGGCTTTCAATGTCCGGCAAGCCCAAGCGTCCACGGACCTGAGACTTTCAGGGGGAAATGTAGAGTGGGCCACAGAAGTGAAATTGTTCACGGCCAACGACTGCGTTGGCAAGGATCCGTAGCCGAGGATCGACGTCGATAGGCTAGAACTCAATGTTTAGTTAACGCCTTTTGGTCATGTAGGAAGAGAAACGACAATACCCTTTTTGCAGAAGCTCGAAATTTTGAGCAACATGATTGTCATCACTGTTGGGTGCGTAAACAAAATTTGCCGCCCAGGTATAGAAAGCAGTTGGGAGCAGCCCTATATGGCGTGATGCGTTTCGCTCAAAAAGATCATACCGCTGAAGATGCAGAGCGGCTTTCAGGACATTGGCCATTGTTTCTCCTTCGAACGGCGGAATGGGCAAGCTGTATGTTCGCATGTCCGGATCCAGGTAACGACTCCATGCCCTATCACAGAGCTTCTCTACCGTGGCAATCTCATTATTGGGCGCTTCAGCGTGTTCGCTCCTGTACGCCCAATATGAAATCAGGGACTGGACATTGGCGTGCGTGAGCTGGGAAGGTTGATCACAATTCAAGAAATTGACGACAGAAGCTTTAGGAACAATAACGACGGCCTAGATCAGCAGTAGGTTAGATTCATGCTCGATCCACCAGAGATAATTAGGCGCATACCCCTATCCGATACCAATGAGTTGCTTGTGGCCCCTAGAATAGAAAAGTAATCAGCAAACAAGAGAGGCAATTTTTTCAGTGGTTTTCACTATACCGAGTTGCCCATAAAACCCTCGTACTCCTCCTCGCCTTCTATGTCGTCGAAACAGTCCTCTTGGAGAAGATCCTCCGTCTCAAATGGCACGTTCTCCGTAACCACCCGGCCCTCAAAATCAACCAGGGTCTTGATGGTATATCTTTGGTCATAGACGTCTGTGATACGATGATAGCCCTCGTCTTCGTCTTCCTCATATTCGTCATCATCGTAGTAGCCACCGTAGCGGCGACGACCGTAACCCCGGACATAGGAATAGTCTTGCTCAACGCCACCACTCTCCTCCTTCTCTAGAAGCGCGAGGAAGATTTCAAAGGGGACACTGTTCGATGCCTCCTGCAGTGCCCGCACTTGAGCCAGATCGCGGGCCTTCAAACTCGAGAGGCGGATATTTGCCTGAGTGTACTCGTGGTCAAGAACGTGGTAGAGAGCCTGATGTTCCTCGGATGCAGACTGGTCCTGGAGCCATCTTCGGAGGGTGTGGCGGAGCGAATGGATGTTGGACCGTAGCAGCGCAGCTGAGGGTGGCACGACGGAAGTGTCAATGGCCAGGTTGTAGGTGAGGACCCAGCGATAGCCCGATGTGACGGGGAGAACCTCGTGCGTGACATCAGAATACCAACAGATGAATGAATGCTCGGCTTGCGATGTCTTGAACACCTTTTTCTCGCCGCAATGCTTCACAACCACGTCACCGCCGGTGTGGGGGGATGGTAAGCTTATGACAAGCGTTCCGAACATGCCGGGGATCTTTTCGGTGCTGCCAGAGTTAGAAAATGCGAGAGCGAGGGCACTGAGAAGTCATACTCTGTGTGCGGCTTGAACATTGCTCCCTGTTCGTAGATGAGCATCTTGTAGATCTCGCATCTGATGGTCGTGTTGATGCCCAAGTCTAAAGCAGCTTGGGCGCATAATGTCTGAACATAATTATGCCACCTGTTATCCAAGAACCTGAATTGCTGGGGATCCAACTCCCAGGTGTTTCTGACTGTGGTATCCACGATTGTCTCGCTGCCCTTTCCATAGGGGGCCTGTGCAGCCATCGCGATCATCTGCTTGGCCTGAGACTCGTGCAGGTCATTGGTTATACTCACAGGCCCAACGCCGTCAACAATCAAGCCGCAATCCGGCGGTCTCACCAGTGGACGGAATGACGCAAAGGAGCCAGAAGCCTGGATCTCCGACAGAGCGCCAAGGAGATCAGCTTTGATCCCTCCGCAAAATGCATCGGTGCTGAGATCACTCGCAGGACTGGCCGCATCGCTGTGCGCAGTTCCTCCGGTTGCAGCGCCTTGGGCAGCCATAGTTTCTCATTGAGGAGGAAAATAGAATCGCGATAGTATCACAACACGTATTGTTAAGGAGAAGACGCGAAAATAAAACAGTCGCGCGCCTCAAGAGCGGTGAACGCGTTAGGTTAGGGGTAATCATAGCGAAAAGGAAATGAAAATCTGGAAAAAGCAAAGTGCAATGACATTCTCACTGGCTGGCCTGCACGGTTGACTTGTCCCTTTTCTTCCGCACAGTTATTCTCATCGTTCAAAGAGTGATCTTCTCGTCCATTAGTAGCGAACGATGAAGAACAACAGGTGGGTCAGAAAGTGACATCAATCCACCTAATTTTGGCAGATGTATCCTTATATTAGGCACTTTTAAACTAGCCGCACTCCACCTGTTATTCTCAATCGTTAGCTATGTATGCAGAAGATTACAGTATGCTCTAACAACGAGAATAACTGTGCGGAAAGAAAAGGGACAAGGGTCCCACCTATTTGTGTGGGTACTTGCACAACTTTTATGCTTAGTTATCCTGAAAGATAATGCTCTTTTATTCAGGGGATAAACCAACTAGCTACCCTATATGTCTACGACCATGCCGGAAGATGGATTGAGAAAAAGACTAATAAACAGACATATCAAGAAATTGAGATATTTGGTTTAAATTAAGTGCTCGGCTAGGCGGCAGATTTGTTGGAGTCGCCACGAAAGGTTTCATAAAACTTACGGTTATTGACAAACTTCATTAAAACCATAGCCAGTGCGAGGCAATATTGAATCTTAGTAGTGATCTAAGTCACTACTATGGAAAGCGGAATCTTCCCAACGACGACTAGATTGGTCAGCATTACACAATGTTTCTCCTTTTACAATGCAGTTCCGGTGCTGAGGTTTTAAGACCCGAAACCCGTCCATGCCTGAGCTGTGAAGTATTGAAACATCTTACTCAATGTGCACAACACATGCCAGGTCCGCGTTGCAGGATCAATCTAAAGGCCGAGAAGGGCGGTGCAACTAATCGTAGTGCTTACTGCTAGACAGATTCTCCTAGCCAAGTGTCGTGAGGATGTGATCCTGCATGAAACTATTAAGCGGTAGTCAATGCCTCCCACAGCCGGGTTGTCGATCACCCGCCACTTGCGGTAGGCCTCTCTATCTTGTCTCAGTCAAGATCCTCGTGAAGGAAGGAAGAGGGGAGAACATGTAACTCCAGGGCGCACATCTCGTTATTTATTACATATTCACTGTACTAAAAGGTTCCTACCGAGAGTTGAGCCATTCTCTACTAGCACATCCGCGTAGCTACCCGGCTCTCACGAAAACTTGCTGGCTAATGATTCCCGAATCCGTAATGTTTCACTACGCAATGCGCCAAGTCACTTTGGCTTGCAGATACGAGATCAAAGTTGTGGGGACAGACAGCGATCTCTCCGCTTTGATTAGGTGGTAGTGGTCAATGAAGAACGGAGGCAGAGTATTAAATGACCAATTATTGACCAACTATAATAGGTATTCTTCTTCCGAGATCCTTTATTTCATCCGCATTCTTTACCGAGAGGCTTGATTGGGGTAGTGCATGAATCCATGAATCCTTGATTCCGTCAAGATTGGCGGCGAACAGCTGGCCTTTACCCCAGAACTGAGACATACATCATCGCGAGTGTAACCTTGTGTGAACAGAGATGCAGTAGCGCTGGCATGATACATCAAGCGGGGAAGACAGTTATTGATCGGCATGATACTTTTAATATCGTTAAAGTTGAAGATAAGGTATAGCGGGCCACCTCCACTTCTTTAAATATTAGTCGTAGAGAATCCTTTCAGTTGAGATTCAACACATACTTACAATTGATCGCCTCATTCTCCGTACTTTTATTCTCCATTTCACTTCCAATGTCGGTAAAGGCTGTATTCTCCCTGGCCCTTCTAGTTGAAGCAACACTAGCAGGGTCATCCAGATTTCCCAAATACCCAGTTGATCTCAAGTTTGATGAGCTCCCAGATCCTAGGAAGGTATGGGCTGGGGAACCAGGCAGCCGAGAGGAAGGCCTTGGTCGGCTCGTACTGCTAACAGATGATCTTATTCGCACGACGGCTGCCCAGCAAATTCAAACTGGGCAGAGGGTTGGTTTGAACTGGGAGCTGACCAAGTTGGAGTACCCTTCCTTCGGACGAGAGCCCTTTCAGCATAAATTTGTGCCTATTCTGGGAGGAGATGCCATTGACGACCTTTACACAATGAATCCTCGTAAGAACTTACCATCATAATACTGTGAATGGAGTATCGGCAATGTGCTGACTCAAAACAGAACAGAGTAGCCAGTGGGATGGTCTGCGTCACTGGAGCATGGTCGAGGATGAAGACTCGGGCCGCCGTGTATTTTATGGTGGAACTACCAAAGAGGAGATTATAAACGGGACAACGGACCGCATTGGAATCAACTACTGGGCAGAAGAGGGCATCAATGGCCGTGGCGTGCTCATTGACTACGTCTCCTGGGCTGAAGAGCAGGGCATCGAGTACGATGCCTTCTCAACCCACCCCGTTCCGCTTAAGGACATTCTTCACATCGCGGAATTCTCAAACATTACCTTCCAGAGAGGCGATATTCTCCTCGTTCGCAGTGGCATGACAAAAATGTGGGAGGAGGAAATGGACCTCGCTGCCAAAATAGCGTATTCCAAGTCACCACAGCCCAGGCATGTGGGCGTTGAAGCCACCATGGACGTGGTCCGATGGCTCTGGGATGCTGGCTTTGCTGCAGTGGCTGGTGACTCTGTCTCGTTTGAAGTCTGGCCTCCATCTGGCGAGTTCAGTCTTCACGATTACATTCTTGCTGGATGGGGTATGCCTTTAGGTAAGTGTTTGAGAACTCCTCGGGCCCGAGCGCTCGTTCGTAGGATCTAAAGACGTGCTGAACAACTTTCTAGGGGAGATGTTCGACTTGGAGAGGCTTGCTGAGGTTTGCAAGGAGCAAAATCGCTGGACATTCTTCTTTACTTCGGCACCATTCAACATGCCAGGTGGCGTCTCATCGTCTCCCAATGCTCAGGCAGTCTTTTGAGAAAATTTGGGAATAGCATATAGCTGGTACAACATGAGCTCTATATAAGGCATGGTAGATACTCACCAGATTTCTGCTTCACCTCTTTCCTTCGGCCAATTGAGCTTGGCGCTGAAGGGCCGGTAAGTATGCATTATGGGTGCTTAGATGCTACCCTCTGGGTTTGAAATGTGGGATCGATCACATGCTCTGATGTTGGAGAATCTACTTCGATCAAGTCGCCTTAAATGAGAGTGATGTTACAAAATGTCGTGACCTCGTCAGAGTTTGTGCTTGAAATGTGATTATGAATAGTTTGAGAAGTTGTTGCAGTTAACTTGACGCAACTACCATATCTTGATCCCATATTACCATAGCAGAATTGAACAAGAATGAAGTCCTTTTGAAGAAGGCAATCTAGTTTCTGTTTCTGAAACCCTTGATTTACGAGGAGCATGGGAAAGAAACGACCGTAGGGGGGTAGTTTGTTGGCAAGCCTGAAGTGTTTCAAATGGAACAATCAGGTTCGTGATCAAGACAATGCACCAAACATATCTTAAACAAGAACGAGCTCGGACGAACCAAATAAAATACGTTTATTGAGACGCTACGACCTAAAAATCCCATATGTGCAATGCTAAAAGGTTAGATACAGAGAAGTGAAAACTTTTTCGTTCATGAGACGAGCCTATTGCTCCCAATGATCCCAGCCAGGAAAGTCCTCGCCCTTTCCGCCTCAGTATTCCGACCTCGCAGGCAACCGAGCGCGGAAATGCACAGATTGAACTCCCTGCGGGCGACTTTGCGGACTTCCAAGGACGGGTTTCCCATGCTATTTAGGTGAACGATGGACGTCGGCAGAATAATGCTGATGCACGTATTCGAGAGATACCGACACAGACGGACACCCTTCAGATCCCGCAACAGTCTCGTGATTGTGGTTGCGGAGTTTTGCACGCAGACCCTGGCCGTGTGCTGAGCCTGGGACTGGACGAAATCTCCCGGCGTGAGCTTGATATCGTACAGAGGCCTGTACAGGGCCGATATCAGCGCCTGGTACTCCATCTGCAGCATCACGCGCTGGATGATTACGGAGCCCTGGCCGGCATTCACGTCCAGCCGGCATGGCTGCTGCTTGTGCCGGCAAGCCTCGGGAAGCGACTCTGCCCACTCAGAGAGTTCCAGGTAGAGGCTGCTGACGGCGTCAATGTTGTCAAAGTTCTTCTTGGGGCACACTAGTGCAACTCTATAGTTTGTGTGGTCGGACGTCTCGTGATTGAGGAGCGTCGAGTACTGGGCATCAAGCACGCGTCCAATAAACCTGCAGAGCTGGGCTCTGGCCAGGCAGATCGACACCAGATCCTGCTGGAAGCTGGCTGGGATGTCGTACTGAATGGGTTCAAAATCATCCTCAGTGAGCATCGGCACGTCGAAGTCCTCATCGGCGATACGCGTTGGGTAGCGCAGGCCGAGCGCGAGGAGGCGGTCGTACATGAAGCAGCACCACCAAGTGCGTTTCCATGCCCTTTTACGGGAAGAGAGTGCCTCTTCGGGTAATGGAGAAGAACTCAGGCCAAAATACAAGTCTTCCGAATTTCGGTGCAACCCGAAGCTTTGCGCCAGAGAAATTGCTACGCCTGACCAATGCCAGCAGTCCTTGAGGTCTTCAGAGGCCTCATACCACGACGCTAGGAGGAGTAGCGACTGGACAATGGATAGACGGTCCAGTTCACAGTCAAACGTGTATAGCAGCTGCCGTCAACACCCTGTTAGTCTGCTTCGGAGAAACCTCCAAGCGTAGCGGGCGGGTCAGTGGTTCCCTGGGGGATCAGATATTTACCTTGATCTTTTCGCAGAGGTTCTTCCTTGCGTCGTTACGCGTAGAATAGCCTGCACGGAAAAGAAAGTCCATGTCGACGAATACGGCACCAGAATATAAAACAGCTTGGTAGAGGAGCAGGCTGATAGGCTCTTCACATTTCCGCTCGTCTAGAAGGTTTATCAAGCTTGTTGTTTCGAGCATGGGGAATCGAGGATGGACGTATTCGATAAAGGCCTGCAAGAGGGGTTTTTGTACCGGCCACGGCGGCAGATCGAAAGCACCTTTTAGTCTCAAGTAGTCCGATTCATCTTGATTCACGTTCGGCGGTAACGGGCGAATGTAAGGAGGGAATTGCGTTGGATAGAGGGTGAAGTCTTCCTCGGGGAAGGAATCTGGCGGGGAGAGATACGTCGCGTTTAGTGTGTCACCAAAAGGTGAATTGCCATATTCGGGTATCTGTTCAAAGTCGGTAAAGAAGCTGGATTCGCTCATCTCGACCCTCGGAACATCCATCAGCGTGCTCAGATTGTCGGTCGAAAATCGCTTGTTCATGGAATCGCCAAAGACATCATCAGCATCACTAGAGGAGGGTGTAGGCAGCATGCCAAGCGCGGCGCCCAATGGATGGCCAGAAGACATGTCTGCCTTTGCTTGAGCCTGCTTGGCCTTGCGTTGCCAGAAATTGGGCCTTGCCGTGAAGTAGGTATGGTGTTAGGAACATGAACTTCCTCGTCGACCTTTACGATACAAGCCGACTTACCTTAGCCTACGATTTAGTGGAATGACACACTGCGAGAGGAAGTCAGCTTTGGGAGTGCTACAGGGCTGGCCGGCAAGACAACAACGGCCCAGAAGAAGCAAACATACATCTAGATTCTTCCAGAGGCAGTTCCCACAGGGGGTGCCACTGGGCCGTCGAGCGACGTCACAGCGGACTTTACGTGAGCGGCACGCTTGGCAAGCCAAAGAGGCGCGCTTTCTGATGGTGCTCGATTGTGACATGATTGATTTATGTATGATAGCTTGCTCCAGAGGGGCATATTTGCTTCAACGAGGCAAGGAAAAGAGAGCAATTGCAAAGAGATCAAAGGAAATGGAAAATTCGGGTCAAGTCGGTTATCATACGGCAGCAACGTCAGGGGCAACCTCGGTAGCAATTCGAGTTTTTGGTCTTTCTCCGCTCGGCGCCCGATCGATGTCGCCGAAGCTGCTTGGCAAACTAGTCTCGCTTCGGACAGTCTCGCAGATCATGCTCAAGTGTCCCGCAGGACCTCCTCCGAGGTCACATGAGCAGTCCATGTGACCTTGGTTTAGCTCTCAGGGCGGCCGTTACTCTCAGGGGTTGTTCCATGACTTGGCTTCTGGTTATACCCATTCCTCGTCGATGTTCTTTCGTCCCTTTCCCTCTGAATTTGAGCAGTTTCAGCACGTCAGCGCAGATGTGAATCAAGGTAATAGTGGAGCATGAATTGCGGTTTTCCGTCGGCGGTGAGAGTCCGACGGATCAGTCTGCCGCAAGACAGAGACGGAAAACACCGGCTTCACACTACCGATGCCGAGACGCACACCATTGGATAAAGCCGGGGGAGATTAGGGCTCCCAGTAGTTTCTTTCCCCACTCCAATTATTGATGATGAAGGGGCCAGACCCAATTGGTAGCAACGCTTTGAAAAATCGGTTGGTTGTATGGGCGGTGTGAAGACTCCTGACCATCGCAAACCCCCACATTGTTCTCTGGGTTGATCAACTCTGGTTAGAAAAGCGTCCACAGTGAGTGAAGCCTGGCAACATCACTGGTTACCATTTCATGCTCTTCTCTCCACTCCCCCAGCATCTTGGCTCGCTTGGTCGATAGTCTGAGCCCTACCCCAGAGTAAGCGGCGGCCACACTCCGTTCATCAGGAGCTATCCGATGGCTCTGCCCCATCTTACCCTCGAGAGAGCATTTTAGCTGGGTCTCCAGCCTCCTTCTAGTTTCTCAAAGTGTCTCAATGATCCACACCGTTCTGGAACGTGTGAGAGTTATTGATTTGAAGGAGTCTGTAGATGTATTGTTACTGAAGCTCTTCCGAGAAGTTTATTTTCGCGTTCAAACGCTTTCCCGTAGTCTACATACTGCAGACATTTGACATAACGTAGAACTCGCCTAAAAATCGGAAATTGAAATATTTTGCATGAAACTTGTTTTTAGATCTTCAAGTTGCTTAGCTGGTCTACAAAGTAAATCCATATAATCACTTGTCTCTTGGAAAATAACAAGGAGGCGCTAGTTAGTCTCTCTGGCTACCGAGTAACCATGAGCATCAGGTCACTGGAGCGGAGTTGGCGTGGTACAGGGTAGGCCGAAAATAGTGACAATCTTCAGACTCGTCTCTATTCCTGCCGGTCTTATGAGGGTGGAGGAGCTACGGGTATGCTAAGTGCCTATTTAATATTTAAATTTTTCAGGGATACCAAGAAACCATTATACCATGTACAATAAGGTTATAGATTTAGGGAGACAAGAAGAAAGTACATGAGATAAGTGTGACCGAGTGAACCTGAATATTTCCGTTTGTTGTTCGCTCTTCATGCGACACTGTTTTCCGTAATATCATAAGCTTCGATGGTATTAATACCCTTGCACGGAACCAGTAAGAATTTCTCGAGGGGAAGCAGTTTTCGTGGCATAGCCGGCCACCCCTCGGTGAACATCTCATACGTTATTGTTCTTGTGGGCTCGCGTTGACGGTGGTGGTCAGCCTCTGAATACCAGGAACTAAATGCTGGTGACATCGGTAAAGCGACCAGCGTATGGAACCCGATGCATATCCCCTGCCTGACAATGGAATTAACCCCATAGAGCATGTAGACGACAAGCGCTGTCCGGCGGATGCATTCCGCAAGGATCCACGAGACCCAGCATACTGCTTCCGCATCGTGGAGCTCAGCTTGAGATCGGGCAAGCAGTTTCAAGGCCGAGCTCATCAAGACCATTTGCTGCTGCTCGGCTAACATGCGTTGTTCGATGCCGCCGTAGAACAGTCGTATCGTTTGATATAAGACTAGAGCTTGCAACCTGGCCAGCTCATCCAAAAGAGTAAGGTCCGTCTCGTTATCCTGGAGTAGTTGAAGAACCTCTGTATCTATAACTCGGAATACCATAATGCTGTTGCTCTGATTGAGGAGGCAGGACGCAGAGGATGCGCCGAAAGCTGCCCTGATTGAACGTGGCATAGACTCGCGGTATAGGTGCGGGTGGATGAACAGCGTCTGCGACTGTTCGGCAAATGCACGGGGATAGCTTTTCATTTGGTCTATCACCCACTGCCAGCTCTCGTTACTTCCTTCTATAGGTTTTACTTCACCGAGCGGACCCAATAGTCGAAGACTCGGCTGGCTCCCTATAGACAAAAAGTCCAAGCTTGGGGATGGCGTGGTTCCGCTGTTGGGAAGCCGCCCCGACGGAAAGTCTGATAAACTAGTAATGTCAAACGAACTTTCAGGAATACTGTCCTCTATCATGTCCATGACATCTAGCCAAGACGTATTGGCCGTCATGAGTTGGCTGACGGTAGTGGTCAACCGTGAAGGCCATTCTGATAACCTTGAGGTTGACTTCGTGCTTGACGGGCTGCTGACAGGCGCATTCAAATAATGGCATTTCTTCTTTGTTCTCTGGCATGTGCTGCATGAAGGATGGCCATAATCGCACTTCCGGCGGCTTTTGAAACAAGCCTCACAGGATCTTCGCCTCAACGGCATGATAATAATGGCGAAATGCAGTTCGTCGTTTGTGTTGAAAGGACCAAAGAGGATTAATAATCCGCTTACAGTGGACAAAACTAAAACCATCCGGAAGTGGCGGTTCTGAGTAATCAAATTTGGCTGGATTGAGGTAACCCAGCAATTACCGCATGAGCAGATATTGTTGACAAATTTAGCATCGAAATTTCCTTTATTTCGCTATTTCCGGGTTCATGAGGGATCTCCAAATGAAAGGGTGGAAGACGAAGAGTTGCCTTTAGTTTTTTTTATGTGTAGAGATCATTTCCGCCAACTGTTAAGAGTGATGACTGACTCCAAACAAGAAGAGTAAAATATAACGCTATTGGTCCTTCTTTTGCCCAAAAAAAATCAGAATAAAGTCTCTAGTTCCTTCATAGAAGATCTGCTTGCCTCCACATCATTGGGGCACAGCGAACTTCCCCCTTGCGATGATTTTCAGGTGCAGCTTTCAGGGCATCCATAGTGATCATTGGTTCTCTATATCACGACCATCACCAACCAACGAAGGTCCTCCCTTCCTAAATCTGGCCTTGTATTTGTTCTCGAGCCAAATCACGTGTGAGCGATTAGGGAGCGGCACATTCCTAGTGGCCAAACGTCCACCTCCTCACCAATTCTCACCTCAATAAACAACCTGCACCATGACTTCTACATAACAAGATCACATAGTTTTTCTTGTTGATACCGAGTTCTTTGAGAACCTGCCTGCCTGGGTCACTGACAACTTTACCATCACCCCCGGAGGCTACCATGATGGCCAACCATCTCGCAATAAATTAGTCATCTTTGCTGATGGCAGCTACCTAGAGTTCTTCAACTGGTATGACACACCGCCGTCTCTAGATGAAGAGACCTTGCCGATGAGATTCTGGGGCACCAAAACCCCAGGGCTTATCGACTTCGCAATTACTGAAACTACCCAATCTGCCGAAGAATCCGTGGGAGTGGTTAACCAACGTTTATCCGAGGGGCCGGATAATGATGCTGGTCTTGAGCTCAAATTCGGCAAGCCAATAATAGGATCACGCAAGAAAGCCGATGGCACAGAGATCAGCTGGAAGATCACCCGGCCAGAGTTTTCCAAAGGCGATAAGACCCCCAGTGAGGAACTTTTCGTGAATGGCAGAATTGACGTCCCATTCTTCTGCCATGATGTCACCCCAAGAATCAATAGGGTCCCAAGCGTGGATAAGGACAAGACTACACATTCCTGCGGTGCCACTGGCATCGCGGCCTGTGAGATCCTGGTACCTAGACAGCTGTTGAAAATCGCCTCCAACCATAAAATAGCCTCCAGTTATAAGGTCGCACGTACTATTTCCCCTTCACTAAGCGTAACATTAAAGAGGCGACGGTAAAGCTGAGAAAGGGGAAGATGCATTACAGAGTCGATTTAACTGGCATGGAAGGTCGGTCCCTCTAGAGATAGGTAAGTGACGGTAACACTAGACGAAGAGGAGAGCATGAAGCCCAGGAAACAGGTGCTCGTGTACTTCCCGGAGCCGGAGCTGGAGTCTACGGCAGTGAGCAGGGATGCCGGCTTGTCAAGTCTTGGATTTACAGCGCGGAAACGAGATCTGGGGTCTTGTATACTATCCCAGCCGGTTTCGGACAGCTTGCGAGGCATTGTAACTCGCCGGTACCTACATAAACACAAACGAGAGGGTCCAAGACTGGGTATTTATCGCAAGATTGATTCCGAAAGATTTGAAAAATACACGAAAAATTGATCGTGACTTCCGACACGCCCAGAATCTGTTGGTTTTGCTAAAGATGGTTCGATTTACTGTAAAACCCTCCCGCCATTGATACCAACAATAGATATTGAAGTTTTAAACTGGCAGAATTCTCTTCTAGACCCCTCTTACCCTTTCAAAGACTAATAAAGCCCACTTCAGCCCTGTAAATTCAATCAATAATTCAGCCGTTCACTAAGATCTCACTAAGATTTCGAGGCCAAAATGCTTAACCCGTACTTCAACCACGGTGCCCTCGCCATCTCCTTCATGCCAGCCTTCCTCAGGTTAAATACCCTCTTACGCCCCGAGGCGACTCTAGCAGGCACATAGATATTCGTGCAAGAAAAAAAAACAGCCAAGGTCTGGAAAGCGGATGTCTTCCGTAGCGCGTTTCTTCGGCTAGCGGAACATCACCGTCAGCTATCTGATGTTCCTCAACTGGTACCGAAAAGATGGGTCTGAGTTTATTCGCTATGATTTGATAGACGTTAACGAATGGTCTCATTAGTAGGCGCAGATTGGAAGCGGAGAGTGGAATTTTGGTGTCTTTGCAATATCGGCCAGGTGTCAGGAGGACTGCTGGGAGTTTTTGCTTGAGGGAGGGATTAGTTGTTGCGTCTTATCAGGTGGACTGTGCCCTCTCGTATGTTGTATGCTAGATTCAACGAATATTCTGTAATAAACTCAACCCATCGAGTAACAATTCGGCACATTGAAACAGTATTGCCTGTCGCCAGCCGTCAGTTTAGTTAATGCGGTTAGCCGGTCATCACTAACCAATGTCGCCTCTTTTCAGAGTTCTATAGATAGCCTTGAATGAAATCACTTCAGACTACTGCACTCGATCGGTACATCCATTTTTACACATAGAGACAGATCTCATATATGTTTGCATCGTATCATCAGTAATAGGGTTTAGATATTGGTTGCCAATATGCATTTGTTGTTGACCGGGCTAATCGCTTCTTTGCAGTTCAGCGTCACTATATCCCGCATTAGCAATAGATTATTCGCACAGTGTTTAATTAAGGAGCTCTGCATTTTACGGGTCAAACTGTAACACCAATACCAGAGTGATCCGTTCAACACATATCGCTCAAAGTTACAGGCGCAACGGCACTTTTGCCTGAATCTTCTTCGCTTCATTGTGTACTGTTCCTCGAACCCTGTTGGATATCCCACAACGTCCAAAGCCTGTTCAGTCAGTCTCTGCCGGTCTATGGCTCAGGCTGGAACTGTGCATCTTGCATCCGCAGCATCTCCCCATCTGCCATCGAATGTTGGACTTAATAAATTCTTGTATTTAGGGCTCAGTATCCTAGACACAAACACAGCGCCTCAGCAGTTCTTGAGAACTTTGTAATTGCTACACTACTAGGCATCCATACCATAATACCCACTTGGCTGTTGCATCCCGCGACATCCACAACCACTTGCCACATCGCTTGTGCTATATCGGCAGGCATTAGGATCCGAATCGATTGAATTGCCTTACCTTTAAAATACCTGTCTTCGTATGTGCTATGCTCTCTGCCCCAAACACTGATTTAACGGACTATCTGCATTTACGAACTTTTTGTGTTGATAATAATAGTTCCGCTCTCTAAGCAATCACTCCTAGCTATCACTACCACGTCCCCAGAGGCACCAACTTCGCCTTGTACAGTAACTAACGTTAGACCATTTGAGAACCCTGGGATTAAGAGATGTGTAGGCTGTATAGTCATTAGGATGGCCATTGTCAGTAGACACTATCTTTAACTATAGATATTTAATTAAGAAAAAACCCATAATAAAAGGAAAAGCAGTTCTAAATATTAGATATTTTAATATATTTATTAAAAGTTTCTTTTATAATTTTTAATATAATTCTTCTCTAAATCTTTACCTTTAACTCTATTTTATTAATTCTACTTCTCTACTCTACTAATAGAAAATAACTTAATTAGCTTTAAAATAATAACTTGTTATTATAGAATATAGCCTAATTAGCTTTATAATTATTAATTATTATTATAGTAGATATCTTATTCAGCCTAAGATTATAATAGTATATAATTAAGCAGGGTTCTATATCTAACTGGAACTCAGATATATAAACCTAGAAAAGTAGGAAACCCGTCTTATATAATATACTAGAACTGAGAGCTAAGTTCCCTATAGACTAGGGGATAGAGACTTAACTTGTATCTTAAGTATAGTAGAATCTAAGATTTAAGCCTATGCTTAATTTTAAGAACTGTTTAATAAATACTTAACGTTCTAAAGTAGAAATTAACAGAGGTAATCACGAGCTAAAGTTATAAAAATGGATCCAAAATAGATATAATAATATCATCGGAGTCAGGAAACTGGCTCAGCCCATGGACTACCGAAGCGAGTACTTCTGTGGTGGTGTCAATATAGTTGAAGGTATAACCTGCGTTTTTATTGCTTCCATTTATGTTATTTGAATGGCACGAACAGTTGTAATTTCTTCAATACAGTTGAACTTTTCCCTTGGGAATTCCTGTCTCTCACTGTTCTGCCATGCTAATATAACATAACCTGGTTCTATTCCGTTCGGATTAGCAAGAGTTTCGATATCACTTATCCGAGGACTTCAGAACGATAAAAGGAGCGAAGCTTTGTAGCTTCTCGCATGTTTCAGTGTATTCTCTTTCTTCCTTTGACATTTCAACAATACCAGCTCCTGCTTGGACCCATTGCCCATTTCTATCCTGAAACACTGATCGCAGAACGAGCGCAGCTTCCAAGACCTCACTGTTATCTATGAGGAGAACTGCTCCGGAATATAGTTCACGAGGCCGAGGCTCGAGGTTGGCGATGGCTTTCAGGGCTGAAGTTTTCGGAATTCCACTCGCTGTAACCGAAGGAAACAGAGTATTGAATGCGTCCCATGCTTTCTTGAGGGGGTCCAACTGCCCTTGAACCGAAGACCCAATATGTTGTACTCTTCCGCGATTTTTTATCGTCATAAAGTCATGGACGGATACTGAGTCTGGTCGACAGCAATGATTCATCTCTTGAATAGCCTCCTTTACGGAGACAACATGTTCGACGATCTCTTTAGGGTCACGGATTAATTCCGCCTTCAGCTTCTGGCGTTCTTCATCAGTGCCAACATTTGAACGAGTGCCCGCTAATGGTTCGGTTGTGACATGGTTATTGACAACAGACATGACTAGTTCTGGACTGAAACCTGTTGCCTCGAAGCCTCCTTGACGTAAGATGAATGTTCTTTTCGGAGTGTTCATTTGAAGACCACGAATAAGTGTTTTGATCATGTCCACTTGTCCTAAGATCCTGACTTGGCGGGATGCAATGACCTTTTCATATTTGCCACTAGTGATGGAACTCAAAGCTTGTTGCACGGTATGAAAGTATTCATCATGGTCCTGATTCAAGGCTATATGGGCAGGTGTGAACTTTGACTCCGATAGTGTCTCCACGTTGAGTTCGTCAAGTTGCAATTTCATGGACGCAATGTCATCGTTGTTACCATTCCAAATTTGAAGTGTGCCCCCACTAACTTCGAGAAAAATGCGAGGGACGAAGAGGTTGACTAGGGGCCATTTACCCGGGGCGAATTTCATTCCCCGGATGTATGCTGAGTAGTTGAAACCAACAAATCCGAAGACTTTTTGATCTGCGGCATGATGCTGTTGAATAAAGGTTGTAACGGTATCAGTGAAATCGGGGCCGGTGTCAGTCGTTACTGTGTTGGTCCCAGTCGAAACAGTCGTTGTTTTCCCATCCGGGGCCAACGTCAAAGAAGCCTTATGGCCTATGCCAGCGAACCAAACGCCGTCGCGTTCATAGGCATAATGGTCGTCGCTGGATGATCGAAGAATTTTGGCAGTAGCCTCAAGAGTCCTCTTGGGATCAAAGTGTAATGTGAAAGGCTTCGACCCTACAGAATCCGGATGCATATTGAAAAGGGTCATTAGTGACTTGCGTGGTTAGAGGTGGATGAGATTTGAGGTTGTAACATTGTCGAATTTACAATTGTGTTCTAAGCACGCTAGTACGGCTGTATTTATCGCAAATGTTTATTTGACTCATCGGTACTCTGGTAGGTTCTACCTGTCATAGATAGCTTAAGTTATGTGCTACATTCCTATGTTTGGGATTAAGTCACACATAGAATAGAAAGGAAACTGAGATAGAATACAACATAAGAACATTCCCAGGCATTGGAAATGAGAAATGCTAATGCCGGCGGCAGCTGAGGAGAGGTCCAAATTTCAGATAGCCACATTCCTCGCTGCTGGGAAAAGGTTACAGTTTCCAACATTCCTCGGTGCCGGGAAAAACACAAGGAATGAACAATGACAAGATTGCAATGCCCTGTTTCTGTCATAAGCGGTGCAGAGTCTTGCGCTGTCTTGGTGCTGCCCCTGCAGAAGACAAATGGCGTCGTCAATGACATCGAATCCTTGAAGCCATTCATTGTTGCATATAAGGGACAAGTTTCCTAGCAATCCAACCATGACTGCCAACTGTACTCCCAACTGGATCCATGACACAAGATTGCATCCTAATATGTCTGCCGAAGATTACGTTCTAGGTAGAGCCGTTAGAGATTCTGTTAGGTGAGTAGCAAAGTTAGAATGAGCTTAGATTTCAGGCACCAGGAGTTCTAAGTGGACCAACCTAGGCTCGACGCGCAGCATTTGCTATGGAGACTTCAACAAGGGCAGCTACTTCATCCTGATATAAACGTTGAAGATGGCCAAAATATCGCCGAAATTGGGTGTGGCACGGGGTGAGTTCATACATTGCAACGAAATTTTGTGCTAATAATCGAATCAAGGATTTGGCTACTTGATCTGGCGCAAAGTATCCCAGAATCGATCAAACTCTTTGGTTTCGACGTGTCAAATCGACAATTTCCCCCGAAAGATGATTGGCCAGAGAATTTGTCGTTTGAAGTCTTAGATTCTCTGCAAGATGTTCCGGCTTATTTGCTGGAAAAGTTCGACGTTGTCCATGTTCGGATGTGGGCAAGCAATATTTTGCCAAGTGATCTTCCACGCCTGGTTGGCAACATCCGTAAAATGCTAAGTATGGGATACAATTTCTCAGCAATGTCTCGAGCTGACCCTTACCTGCAGAACCCGGTGGCTACCTACAATGGGAAGAAGCAGACCTTGTGGACCAAGTTGTTCGCAGCGACCTGGCGCATGAGTTCGAACGAAACGTGAATAACCTATTCGAACTTGCAGGGCTTGACTACTCGTAAGTATCCAACTTTGAGTTCCGTGTCAATAGGCTAACTTATTTCTCCCTCGTTCCCAGTTGGGTATCGCAACTTCCAACGACTTTGGAAGAAGGCAATTTTAACGTTCTGTCATTCCAACGAAGCACACTTAAAAAAAGTTTAACTCAGCTTGGTACCAATACGTACCTTCTTGCGCTTCGGGAGATCCTGAGTGGAATAGAGAGGCGAATGAAGACTGCTTCACATGTTCAGCAAGCGTGCTCTCATTCCCTAGATGCGATGCTGCAAAGGACAACGCCTGACTTGGTGTATAACTGGACCCCTGTTTGTGTACTGGCACGGAAGCGATGGATATGATTTCATTTGCAGTATAAAGCACAATTCTACGCGGACTGGATCTTCGCTGCTATAAAACATGTACTGTTTCCCTTGGAAGCATTGATACATTAACTTTGGTAGAAGTCTTAGTAATACAAAAAAGAGAATATTACTAGTCCGCAAGAGAGATCTTCCCTCTCTTGCCTTTGAAGGATATCTGCACAAGAGGGCACTCAACTTCTAATGCTGCATAAATATAAGCGGAATCAGATGCTCTGGTATTCATCTATATACTCTCAAAACAATGTGTTGAATGTCGCTAGAAAAGAAACCCTATAGGATGTTAGATTGTTTCCCAAGAACTTTCGGGCTCAAGGAATTATACCATGCTCACAGACTTCTGATAGCGAATCCCCGATCATCAGAATCTGGTGCGTTATGGGTATCTTCTTTGACGTATGAGGGGGGCGCAGATTAAAGATACAGACTTTGCAATTGTTGCGAATTAGAGTCATAGGACGCTGAGCAAGTCAAGCTTCTTCTATGTGAAACAAAAGCCTGCCAATATTTCAGCTTCGTGTGTTGGGGACTAAGAGACAAGCATATCATAGCCAATCACATCTCCTTTGTGTGGAATGGAACTCCATTCAATGATGAAATCAATAATTTGTGCGATCTGAAGCCAGTGTGATCGGCTGAGATCTACGTCAGCATTTGTCTTTAGCACAACCCTTAGGAATAATAAATAGACACTGTTGAAGAGCGTAAGCCGGCGGGGTTGCTTGGATCTATTCTCAGTCTCTTGTATTGAATCCATCTTCAACCATCCTACATATGTGTCTAGAATATGACCCAACACAAATCCCTTCAAGTTCGAATCAGCCTCCCTCGGCGCATCACAAACGCTGCTTCAAGAATATGCAATCTTCTATCACGAACGGAAGGCCTGGCCTATTATGCATATGAGCTTGACAATGGGTGGCTTGTCGGTATAGGTAGCCGAGCTTCTCTAGTCATTGATGCCATAGGTGGCTCCTTCACTTTAACTGCATCGGATCGGGTTGAAACGCATTTGGCCACCTCCAGTCTGCCTGATATTGTTAGAGACTTTGTTGTTGCGCACCGCAAACCAGACTATATGCTATACGGTCTTGCTAGCCCTAACTATGCGAGGAGAGTGCAGGGTCTTCCAATCCTGTCTGACGATTTGCCACTTCTTAGTCTTATGGTACCCTTCGTCCAGGTCACGGTTCACCAGGACTCCATCCTAGTGACTGGAGACAATCCGCCGTGGACACACCACGTCGCCGATATTCTTGACGCTGAATGCTGTGATGAGGCCGTGCCTAAAACGTGTTATAATATCGCATCAGCACTAGGTTTTCACAAAGAATGCGACGGCGCAATGAAATCTAGCCCTCTCGTGGTAGAGAATGGGAAACCCGCAAAGATTGCTCTTTCCGAGCCGAATTCTATGGCCGATCAGAGAAATATGTTTGATGCGCTGTTCCGGAACAGGCGAGGAGGCACACCTCTATATGGTTTTGCGCTCAATCATTTCGAGCTTGCAGCTGTTGGATTCCACCTTGAGTGTTCACTGCAGTTAAAGAAAGGAAGATCAACATCCCCAAACATCGCAGATTGGCGATATTACCCAGATCGCGGTGCTGAGGAGACGCCTTGTGAAGCTAGGGTCTCTAGCAGCTCTAGCGATAAGGACACTGTCGAATGTATAGACGGAGAAATTTCGAACAGACACGATGCCTGGGCTGCATTTTCGACGTACCTACTTTCCTCTACTGAATTTACGGCGCACCACAAAAGCCATGAGTCTCTTAACGACATGGGATATCGAGGGCGATGCATAGGAATTTTGTTCGTGCTTGACCATGATGATTCATTTTTTGAAGCCAGCAAAGTTTTTCAACAAGTATCCCTGGACAACCATCTTGGTATAGAGAGAAGTGCGTTTGCCGAGTTGATGTAAAATGAGGAAACTCAGCCGAATAGCAAAATACCTAGTTTGAGAGGTGGATAATGACGAGTGAGGGACCAGCGCCTTGAGCCGGAATTGGAAGCACTTTCTTTTTTGGCGTCTATCTATTGTCTGCTACCCTGTCATGATGAATAGCCTTCATAGACTGTATTGCGGCTTCCGTTAAAGTGGCTTCATCAGGATATATTGTATGTTCATCTCCCAGTTTCACAAGGTCCTGGAAGAGACCCGGCCTCTTAGGGCGCTGTAGCTCTAAGACTAGCTCCTCTTGTTCTTGCTGCAGCTCCGGAAGGGGCTGTCGCGTTCTGGCTTGGAGGTTTCGCAAGCTGTGCCCCTGGTAGTTGTTAGTTTATATTGCGACCTTTCTGAGAGAATATAGCACGATAGTATGGGGAGAAATCGCAGAATATAATTCTGAATTGGGGGTTTCAAGTGTTTTGGTGGGAGGTAGGGAGTAAGTGTATAGAATTTGGATATAATAAAGGTGGAAGATATGATTTTAGTATTATCTTTACCCCGATATAACCTATACAATAAATTCTAATCAAGACGCCGGGGTTATATTATAGATATATAATAAAGTCTGGGTGGGTAAAGAAGATAACCGTTAGCTGATATCAGAATCCAATCGGACTCTGTACTAGAGACTCTCTCTGCTTAATTATTCGACTAGTACCTAACGCCATGGGAAACTGTATTATTGGTCAGGACAGTTGGAGGTTAGCAACCTGGCTCCAGATCAAAGTTGAAACAAAGTCCCTGAGCCTGGTGATAGTTCAAGCCTACAATGTGAACTAGTCAAGAATCTTGCAAAGACCAAACCATCTTATATCCATGCCGAGTCTAGTTGTTCCGTTATAGTTGTGCCAGAGGAGGCCCAGTAGGGTCTACGACTGTAACGTTCTTGATGACACATGCAGAAGTATCATAAATCTCAGCATGGGTCCCATTGAACAAGCTGCCCAGCCAATCTAGAGATCTGGAGTGGCCGTTTTGGAGCTCGGAGATGTGCTCTCCGACTGTGTTGCGCTCATACAGAACAACTGCTCCACCTTCGCAGTATTCAGTAATCAGCTGGTCGGAGAGCTGAATTGAGCTGAACTGATCGCCAATAGCCTTGTAGGCAAAGACAGGAACGCTCGGAACGCCCTTGAGGCGGAGGTCATAGTGGCCATCGTACAGAGAGGTGAGGATGGGATGGGTGAAGTCGTCCCGCCCGTTGATGAAGTAATCAAAGATGCTTTGGTTGTAAAAAGCGACAAAGGCCTGGAGAGCAGACATGTTCAGGGCGGCAAGAAAGTCTTGAGCTTTCTCGTGCTTTAGCGACGATATCAAAAACTCCCGAGCTGCAGGGAACTGCTGGGTCAGCCCGAGAAGCGCATTGGGGAGAAGTCCGGCAGACGAGGTTCCGTCGAGGAGGTCGGCAGTTGCCACAAACCCCGGGGGCATGCCGCCGATAACGAGACCTGCAAAGTGAGGCTGCAGATCTGGAGCATAGTACGGTTGCATTTCTCCAGCCCAGCCAGATGAGATAGCACCACCAGAGTAGCCCCAGAGGGAGAAGCTTGCATGTGCCGCGTCAAGCCCCAATGGCTCGAGCCCTTCCAGCTGGCTGTCGTCTAGGGCAGCAAGGCAGTAGACGGCGCGCACACCATCGAGGATTACCTTTCCCTCGAGAGCTCCAGCTGTAGACGCAGCGAAAGGGCCCTCAAAGTCGGGTACGGACACAAACCAGCCACGTTGGAGTGCCGCCGTCACGTCTCCCAGTGTTGCTGTCTGCGTGGGGTCATACATCAGCACGCTAACAGACCAGTCAACACTCGGAGTGTTGTAAGGGAGCTGGTAGGACAGAAATGCAGTTCCAATCCCCCTCGAGGAGGTTTCATACTGCGACTGGTTGCTGGCTGGTATGGATGAATAGGGATTGAGAGGACTGAAAACAGTTGAGAATGACCAAAGTGGGTGTCCGAGACTATCCTCGGTGCGGTAGACAATGTTGTAGACAGCCGAAGCATTGAACATGGCGGTCAAATTACCCGGCGCTACCCGTATACGGATCAGGTCCCCCAGAGAATAGGCCGAGAGGTCAGCTGGCTCGCTCATGTAAAAAGGGTCGTTGGAGGGCAAAAGGGGTGCAGAGGGAGTATCGAAGATGGAGAACTTAGGACCACCAACGGCCCTCGCCACGGGCAGCAGAAGCAAAAGAAGCGTGGAGACCATCATGATGGATTTTAATGGAGGATGGGTGCTGTCTAAGAGAGGCGCGGAGTAATCTGTCTTCTTGAGCAAAGACCGACTTGCAACTCAGGCAAGACGCCGCCTGTTTTATACACACGCACTGGAGTTCGGGGCCAACTATAGCCCGTCCTGAAGGTGCCGTGACCAAGCCGTGATTATAGGTCCGGACATAACCATTTGTTCGGACCCAGGGGATGCTTGCTAGCTTTGAAGCCTGTCAAACGGAGTGCCGGGTATATCTTTACTGGAGACTCGGGACTAAATACGGCTTGGCATGGTTAGGTCAAGTCTAACCCTGGGAATGAGATGCTCGGGTAACTTGGTCTAACTTTGTAGATGAATGATAGAAGAAAGCAATCCGGTATGCCATTATGGCGAAACGAAATGGACCCAGACCTGCCTTGTTTCGTACAGGCCAGGTGGGGCACGGCATGTAACTCGGTAAGAAACGTGATTATTGGTGATCTCACTGCCAGGATTATACGACACATGGTTAGCGTAGATGATTATGGGCAAGGATGGCCTTGAGAGCAAACACATGCTCGCAAACCCCTCCATTCCGCTTCTCCTCCACCTGAGGATCATGGATGATAATGGAATCCTCATAGCCAGCCTGTAGAAGGTATTGTCAGCTTATCGAACTTTACCAAGGCGATGCCGCGTAAACTCCATCTTTCATGACTTGCGAGGCTGCGGCAACTGCAACATCCGCAAATCAAGTTAGTCATCTAATGGCTCTGGTGAGAGCCGAGAATGGGGCTTATTGGCCGATGGCTAAACCATAAAATCATGAAGAGACTTCCCCCGCGAATGATAAGAGCTTTGAGTCTACCTAGTAGCATGCATAATACTGGGAGATTTGATAAGAAAGCCTATGCCTATAAGCTATCAGTAGAACACCAGGTAAGCTAGTAGAGAATAATAGCTTAACTGATTAGATGTTTTTTAAAGCCTGGGAGATACTGCTTACCTTGCGGGATAAGATGGTATTCTTCAAGAATAATGAGCGAATGATGCCTAAATAGAAACTACTATATACAGCTTTGCAAGAGAAATTGATTGTCTATTCACTAGATGCTGCAGTATACCAACTATCTTGGCCTTCATCTTGGCGCTTGTCTTTTTTATAAGTGGGAATTGCTCTTCTTTTTATCTAGACACAAACAGGCCACATTAAGAAGGCTAAGCAAATGATATCAATCTCCCCAAATTATCATATAACTATATTGCTCTAGGTTACTCATTGAGATTGTATTTGGACGTCTGCAGCTTGATCATTAGCTAATTAGGACCGGTCCCTAGTTTCTTGAGGCCACAAGTATCCAGAAAATGATGCCAAACACGCCTTGAGGCATATTACTCATCTCACTGACCCACTCAACACTTTTATTTACACAACATGTTGAGAATGCATCGCCCTCAGCGCCTTAACTTTTACTTGAACAGGATCTGCATTTTCGCCATTTCAGATACTCCGAATTACTGGGGTAAATCCGTGTCACCAAGATTTCTAGAGATATAAACCCGACGCGCTTGCTTGATCCCTGGGATATCTTCAAATTGAATAATTCGGCAAGTCTTTGTATAACTATAGCCTACAACAAACAACCTTTCTAGAACCCCTTCAGGATACACACCATGGGATCTGCCGCGGTCATTCCTATTACTCGCATTCCATCAACAAGTGGAGTTTGCGCTTCCAGGAGAAGCAATGAAGGCTCGACTGATAGCCCAGGGGAAGCGACAGAAGAATATCCAGAAGGCGGTTTCAGAGCATGGATGGTTGTGTTGGGGGCTTGGTGTGCAATGATTCCATCAATGGGAATGTTGAACTCATTGGCAATCCTGGAAGCGTGGTTAAGCGAACATGACCTACAAGGAATTCCGAAATCTGCAACAGGCTGGGTCTTGAGTACCTATGCGTTTTTCCTATTTTTCTGCGGCGCACAAATTGGTTAGTGATCTTGTCTGCGAGTAGAAGCAATGAACTTACGAATATGCAAGGTCCGATCTTTGACTCCTGTGATATCAGGTGGCTCATTATTCCTGGCTCGGTAGGAATGATTGCTTCAATGATCTGCATGAGCTTCTCTCGAGGTAATTCTTATTTTATCAGATATGTGTGTGGCAATACTGACATCTTATCACGTTAGAATTCTACCAATATCTGCTCTCATTTGGTGTTCTTGGGGGGATTTCAGCTTCCTTTCTCTACAACCCGGGGCTGTCCACAGTCGGTCATTGGTTTCAGAAAAGACGCGGACTTGCCACATGCATTGCTTGTACATCAGGCGGCATCGGAGGTGTTTGGATTCCTCTCGTGATACTTTACCTTGCACCCCGTGTTGGTTTTCCTTGGGCCATCCGAGTGGTAGCCTTGATAAGTGCAATCCATCTAGCAGTCGCATGTTGTCTATTACGCCAGCGACTACCTCCAAACAAGAAAGCAGGTTCTTCCATTGACCTCAAAGCTTTAGCAGACCCAATGTACGGCACAATTACGTTAGCGCTGGTCCTCGTCGAATTCTCCATTTTCATCCCGATTTCATATATATCGTCATACGGCCTTCAATCTGGATTCAGTCACCATCAAGCTTACATGTTAAATGCTTATCTGAACGCCGGTGCCATCCCAGGCCGAGCCCTCCCAGGTTATGTCGCAGACCGGTTTGGAGTCATGAACACAATGTGCGCAATCTCCTTCTTCTGCATGATTTTTATTTTCTGCCTGTGGTATACCGCATATGGAAATCAGTCCATGACTATATCTTTCGCAGTCCTTTTTGGATTCTGGTCAGGAGCATCTGTCAGTTTGGCGCCAGTAGGCATCGGACTGGTCTGCAAGACCGAGGATTACGGGAAGCGAAATGGCACGGCGTACACACTGGCCAGTTTTGGTACACTTATTGGAATCCCCATTGGTGGTGCTCTCCTGGGAGCTGAAGGCAAAGCATTTCAGGGGTTGATTATCTTCAGTGGAGTATCATACGTCTTTACTTTAGGAGCTTATGTTCTTGGTCGTGGTCTCTTGAGTCGTTGGAGACTTTCAACAATATGCTAGCTATCTTAAATGCAGGCAAAGGTTGATAATGAATGTAGCTTCAATGTCAGACTTCCAAATCAGCTGAAACATACCAACATTCGTCCAAGTCGGATATGCCAATACATTTTCCTCTCCGAGGACACTGAGGCGACATCTCCCTTTCAATAGTACTACCGAGTTGCATCTCACTAACATTGTGGCCTCACTAATACACGAAAAGTCCCTACTCCCTCCATCGGAACGAAGGATGCTTCCAATCTAGGTCCTCTTGCTCCTCTGCAGACAACCCTTGTATCTTCTCCAGCTCCTCCTCCTCTACCCTCGCCTTCTTCACATTGTCTCTCCTCATCCACACCAACATGACACTCGCCACAATCAACGTGCCAGTCTGTGTGGCCAAGTTCAGCCCGTTTCCAATAGGGTAGTTTGGCCCGTCAAAGGGTAAGAAAGACCAGGTGGAGATGAGTCCGCCAATGTTACCCAGCATGACGTTGAACCCTATGGCCGAGGAGCGCGCCGTATCGGAAACGACATTGGCCGACACCTGAGCGTTGGTGAGAGCACCCAACGAGAAGGCAGACGAGGCGATAAGAAACGTTGCGGCATAGCGTGCAGTACTATTCTTCGTAGCTAGGAAGATTATGTATCCGGTAATGCCCAGGGGAGCTGACATGATGATGAAGATTTGTCGACGGTCATATATCGAGGCGAACATTGGTACGAGGAAGGTAATAACCAACCCGAATGCATAGGGAGGGACAGTGTACAACTGCTGCTGGATGACGGTGTAGTTGGCATAGATGCTCTTGATGATAGTTGGCATGAAGATGGTGAGACCCTGGACTGTGATGTTGCAGAAGAGAAAGATCACGGCAGTGCTCATTGTAATAGGATTCCTAATGCCGAGGAGGAGTTTCTTCTTATCGATCTTGTCCAGCACTTTGGTCTGGCCGACACGCTCTGAGCGGACTCGTTCCTCGGCGAGCTTTTTCTGCTCGGTAGTGAGCCAGCGCGCAGTTTCAGGCCGATCAGTCAGAGTTGCGAAGCCGATTAGCCCAAGTATAATGGTAGCGAGGCCTTCGATGACGAAGATCATGCGCCAACTGCTGACGCCAGCAAAGGAATCCAATTTCAGGATACCCGAAGCCATGAGGGCTCCAAAAGCACCGGCCAGTGGCCCCGTTATTGAGTAGGCACCCAACCGAACTGTGAGTTCGGAACGGCGGTACCATCTGGAGAGGTAGTATGCGACGCCAGGAAGCATGCCGGCTTCAAACAGTCCCAAGAGGAAGCGCACGGCAAACATCTGAGGCCCGGTGGTGACGTAACCGCAGGCGAGAGAACAGGCACCGAAAAGGACGGTAAGAAGCGGTAGGAACCAGCCAGGCCCGACGATTTTGCAGAGGATATTGGCGGGTAGTTCGAAGGTGATGTATGAGGCGTAGAACATGGAGAGAGCGGCGTTGTAGTCGTAGCCGACCATTCCAAGGTCCTTCTCCATGCCGGCAATTCGCGCGTTTCCTACATGGGAGTCGCATTAGCACGCAGGTTCATTGAGAGTATGTAGAATCAAGCTACGTACCGATATTTGCGCGGTCGATGAAGCAACAGAGATAGAGGATGCAGACTGTGGGCAGGATCATAAGGTCGATCTTCCTGCGGAGGCGGCCCTCGGCGACCTTATCGTACACCAGCTCTTGAGACGCGCCCCTTGAAGATATTAGCACGGCATTGGCTATTGTTTGATATGAAGATACTGACTCGGCCATTTCGACCTGCTTCGTCTCGGTGCCCATATCCGCTTTGATATCCCGATCACCGCTCATGGCTCCCGGCATGGCAGAGGTTCAATTCGATGATAGTCGGAACTTAGTCGGTCGTGCAGAAGAGTCAATCAATGAAAATAGTGGAAAAGAGGTGGTAGAGGTGCAGGCATAGACAGTGACTGTTTGACTGCTCTTTAGTTGGTGGTTCAGAGCACGAGTGAGACAAGGATGGACACCCACCCGAATATATATGTGTGTGCATTTCTAGGCCATACACACCCGCTCAATAACATTCCTACGGGTAGTGTCCCTTGGTCGTGTAATCAGTCTACGATCTAGCATTGATCAGGACGCCAAGACCTGGGGTCAATTCACCGTGCCAATCCCAAGGCCTGGATTGATCATAAGGTTCTCCGCATCAAAGACAAGCGAGTTGATACCCTGGCCAAAATCAATGCACCCCGCGGCTGGCGTGGGAATCTAGAATGGTCTGTCGGGTACTAACGAGGGCGGATTTCGGGTCGGCTGGCTCCAAAGCATGCAAAATGCCAAGAACCGAACCGACCCGAAACTCGACCCGATGAGAACAAGGCAAAGCTGTTCCTCACATCATGGTCTAGACGTATGAGCCAGTGGGATATCAACGATACATATATCTCTAGTTACGCGTTGAGAAAGCCAAGCTGCCAACACCAACTTGTCAACTGCAGCCATCTTCAAATATGGAATCGAAAAGACTTGACTATGCCATTATTGGGGGAGGGATCTCGGGGCTGAGCCTGGCCATCGCCCTCCATCATCGCGGCGTCTCAGTCCACATCTACGAGCGTGCACGCAAGTTTGGTGAGATTGGGGCGGGGGTTTCTTTCACGTCGAATGCCTTGCAGTCGATGAAGATATGCCACCCAGGCATCCACGATGCTTTTGAGAAGGTCTCTACCCGCAATGTCTGGCCCTCGAAGCAAAGTGTGTGGTTTGACTATTACAACGGTCAACAAGCATCATCAGAGAAGCCAGCATTCTCGATTACAAATGATTTGGGCCAGCGTGGGGTCCATCGAGCACACTTTCTTGATGAGCTTGTCAAGATGATTCCAAGCGATATATCATCTTTTGGAAAGGAGCTAGAGCGATATGAGAGAGGAAGCGACGGAGTATACACATTATTCTTCGGCGACGGGTCTACGGCGCGGGCAGATGCAATCATTGCCTGCGATGGGATCAAGTCGAGGGTCCGCCAGCTCATGTTTGGCATCGACCACGAATGCGCCTTTCCTTCTTACACGCACAAATACGCCTACCGCGCCTTAATACCAATGGCGGATGCGGCGGCTGCCATTGGTCCAGAGAAAGCAGAGAACGCCTGCATGCATGTGAGTCAACCTTTGGAAGAGCCTTTCACCACTGTTGAGCCTCTGCTAAATACAACCAGATGGGTAAAGGAGGCCACGTCCTGACATTCCCCGTCAACCAAGGCCAGACACTCAACATTGTTGCCTTTCACACAACCGAGAAAGAGTGGCCGGACCGAGTCAGACTCACGGCACCAGCCACGCGAGAAGACGCTCTGCGCGATTTCGCTGACTTTGGCAACACGGTAACCGATCTGCTTCGTCTTTCACCCCAAGAACTTGATACGGTAAGTTACACTGGTTTTGGAGGCTTGGCCCGACCGACTAATTCGTCATCAAAATCCAGTGGGCCATATTTGACTTAGGCGATCATCCACCACCGACGTTTGCAAAGGATGGCGTATGTCTTGTTGGCGACGCTGCACATGCGACTTCGCCGCATCACGGTGCGGGTGCAGGACTCTGCATCGAGGATGCCGCTGTTCTGGCAGAGCTCCTCTCTGACAAGAGGGTGGTTACCCGCCGCGATGCCGAGCATGCGTTTGCGACCTTCGATGCCGTGAGGCGAGAGCGGGGATCCTGGTTGGTCCAGAGTAGTAGGCATATAGGCAACGCTTACGAGTGGTTGGTCCCTGGACTGGAGAACAATCTGGACAGGATTGAGGCGGACATAAATCGCCGGAATGGAATCATAGCCAACGTTGATGTGGCTTCTATGTGCAGCCAGGCGGTGGCTGAATTGGCAAGCGGGTATGATATTATTGCTGGAGCTAAGATATAAAGGCAAATATTTAATTTGGTTCGGTTATCCCATTCTTTTTGTCTTGATTATCATTTCTTTACTCTGCAATATGTACATTATCAGTCTCGTCTGCAAGAAATCGAAACTGACTGGACTCATAATGCTCAAATATAGCCAGGAATAACTCCACACTCCAAAGGCCACCACACATAATGAGTGGGTTGTCTTTATTCAGAACAAATTAAGGCTATTGTAAATACAACGATGTAACTAGGCTGCTCGGCACTTACATGATCCTTCCGCCTCAGCTTAGAATCTTACAAAGCAAGTTATGTTCTTTGTCTATTATTTACCACTCCCTCCGAGGCTATATATAGGTTGCCCGTTGAGATTATCATGTGAAGAAATCCAGCCATTCAGCATGCATGAGGTCAGTGGCTAGAAAGTTCTCAGTAATAGGATCACAAGTGGAGGAGGCATCACCACTCGAGGATATGTCAAAAGAATGTGCGTCAAAGAGAGCAACCAAGTTATTGTCCACAGGAGGTGTAGGTGAAAGTTCTCCCACTTTGGGGTTGAGCGCTGTGACATAATGCGTGAGTACTGGAGAGCTCGAAACTGAGGGTGCGCCATATCTCACCTGAGCCGGTAGTCTGGAAAACGCGACGTCTGATCTCGGTTAATGAGTGAATTGCATGCGACGCCGAATGCACCTGATGTTCGTAGTGCTTCAAAATAGACAAGGAACGGGACCAGCAAGTTCGAAATGCCTTGTCTCCCGGCTGGAGGTCAAGAAGTTCACATTTCAAAGAAGCGAGCAGGACGATCGTGGCAGAAAATGTAACTAGTAGTTTTACTTGTCAGTTCTCACGATCAAATGGGGTCATCTCCAACTTACAGTAAACGGTATGCCACCCCGAAGTGCGATATAAGGTGCCCAGGTTCCAATACAGCGTGTCGACTAGGCCGTACGCTGTCTGTAGACAGAGCTCGCAACACTGCTGGATCACTGCATGATCCAGAAGCGGCTGCCCAATGCTGTCTAGGGCGTCTATCGGAGATATCTTCTCTCCAATGATTGTGCTCAAAAGCAGAGGACGAAGAAGCAACAGCCGCGTAAGTAAGAACCTAGGAGAGATGATTAGACTTTATCGTGAGAAGATTAGCTTCGTTCTTACCGGCAATGCAAGACGTGTTGCTGTAACGCAACATGGTTAACAGACGAGGTGGGCGTTATCTCCTTATCAGACAACTTCAAATATGCAGGAATAGTGCTTGCGAATTCGTTTAGACGACGGTTCAAACTCAGAATGCAAGTCAAGATTTCACCCTGTTGAATTTTGGCTTCACCTTTGCTCTGCATGTTTTTGGTCACTGGCTCGTGTCTAGACAAAGATGCCAATACCTCTTCAAGTAGCTCTAAAAGCGTACAAGATGACACAAATAAGCCAAAGCGCGATGGCATTCCCGAAGGTTGCTTCCCTGGGGGGCCTGTATCGCTTAGATATTCGTCATCAACCATGGCAGGCAAAGCAAGACTGTTTGGCCTCTGGACCATCGTTGGCCGCCCAAACGTCATGGCAAGCAAACTAGATAACAGTTAGAATTGATAGATATGGCCAAAGGCAGGGATGTACCTACCGATCCAAGTTAACACAAGAATGCCAAACGCGCCTCATCATTTCCCGCTCTACCTGCGAACTGTTCTGGCTGACTCTTGCTTCCAGGTGTAGCCCAAGGCTCTGGGCCACGCGAATGGCAAGGCCTATTGCGTTCCAGCAACGGTTCGCATATGGTGTAGACTGAAGGTAAACCCCGTTCAACACGAGAAGCTGCACCAAAGGCAGGGACGCCGAGTCTAGCGCATCAAATATGAACAGTTGACGAGATTTCTTGTAGAAGTCATCTCCCACAGAGGATTTTTGTTTGTCTGGAATGAGGTTGCTGAACTTGCAACCGAGAGCAAGGACAAGATTCAGCGTTGACAAAAAGATGTTGTTCTCATCGGCTGCGTGCTGGGATAGTTGAGAAACCTGGCCGCTACTTTCGAGTACCCAAAACCGCTCGTACCTCGCGGTGAAGGTGGGTTTGTGCAGGACAGGGAACATTGGGTGGATGAAGTCCCAAAAACAGGCAATGAAATCGTCCGCGCTATGTCGTCGAGGAAGCACTGCCATTCCGTCGTTTGGCTCTGGCATCCTCTCAGGGATGTGGACTTTGTCGTAGTGGCTATCCGGCGTGGGAGGAGGAAGGCCTGTCTCACAAGAAGCTTCATCAGACAAGACGTGTTGGACAAATACAATGGTGGATGACGGGCCATAAACAGAGCTGTCTTCGCGTCCGACGAAGGTTGCCAAACCATCGCTCTGGGTGGAGGACCATGGCTGACCCGGTGATGGCTCATTATGATGGCCATGGGGCTTGTCTGCTGTGTCCAATCGTGCAACGGGCATTGGAGGAGAACCATATGTGGTGTTAGGTGCTGATTGCGATGGCACAGGCTCGGCCTGATGAAAACGGCGGCGCTGGCTAGCGCGCGGCGTATCGTACGAACAGTTGTGGCCGACGCCGCGATTCTCACATGCGCGGCAGACAGGATGCCGAGCATCACAGCGCGTCTTGCGGTCCCGACATGGAGTGCATGCCTCGTTGACCCTCAGACGTTTCCTAGGTCCTCTCGAACTCGCGGCAGGCGAGAGAGTCTCCATTGTGCGGAGAGCTCGGAGGGTCGGAGGTAGGTAGATCCTAGATGCAAGATTCAATCCCGATTTCATCAGTTCTCAGATTGGTCCGCCTCCGGCTCGTCGGATATGCAGGCGGAACAGCACGTGGAGTGTGGAGAGGTACATACCCGACAAGCCTCTAAAATGCGGGGTATGGGGAAGGTACATACCCGACAAGCTTAAGACAAAATTTACCTCCTGTTCATCCCTTCTATACGGAAGAGAAAGAGAATAGAGTTTAATAACAATAAAGCTGCTAGGGCCCGATAACTCAATATAATAAATACGAAAGCTTGAAAATATAGCCTTTCCTAGTCTGCCCAAGATATAGTTATACGGCAGGAAAATTCTATAAACCTTCGTACGGATAACTTACTTACTGTCAGGACAGCGGCTCGTCGAATAACTATTAAAGCTATCTCTTTCACCTGGCTTCCTTTGTTTGTCTTGTATTACGCCAATCCACATACTCCAACAGGGATGGATTGAAGCAGTGGGTATTCTTGGTGCCCAAGGCTAGATCACTATAATTATATGCAGCTATCCAGAAGAACAAGTAGGGCAGTCGGTGGCACCGATACGAAGAGAGGAAGGGTTAGAGGAGATAGTATTAATAGAAATGCTTTTAAGCTTTAAAAAAAAAACACAGTGAAAGATTCCTTCTATAAGAAACGGTCGTCTAGCTTATAAAGGCTAATGCTTACTTTAGCAGAAACATACTTCAAATTTAAATGTATGCTCCTAACCACATTGCGAGTTTAACGTTCATAAGAACTTCGCTCATTGCTCCACCAAGGAGTTGGCTTTGGTCGGCTTGTATCAAAGCAATTTTATAAGGCGAAGGGACCTAATATCAGACCTACTCCGAGGGTGGAGCTAAGGACATAATTTTACATAATCCAAGCCTCCTTTGTTGGTGCCGCATTGTGATAAACATGGATGTGCATTTGTCTTGTAATTGCGTATATCTATCTTTTTAGTTGAGCATTAAGTTAAGTCCTTCCAGTGAAATAATCATTGACCTCTCTTTATCTATGTTGAATCAACATCCTGAAACCAGATGCCCGCTTCTCCGTCTACGCTCAGGGCAGCGAGCGTCCTGACTGAACCAATTCCAGGCATCAGCTAGTGTTGCGAGGCTTGGCCATTCCGTCTAGGAAGACGATGCCACTCTCTCAAGGGCATCATGGATCCCGGTGTAGCTACAGTTATAGTCCATTGTGGCCAGCCTGTCCCGCAAGGTGGTACTCTTCGTCTGCTTTTGAGTGTCTTGCAGCACTTTTGCAGCGCGTGGACGCCGGATGATGTCGATCTTTTGAAGAGCATACTCGATCTCTGCCCCAGACATTCCACGTAGAAGAAGCCGAAGGCTGTCGGCATCCTCTATAGCCATGTTGGCCCCTTGGCCCTGCAGTGGTGTCATGGCATGGGTAGCATCTGCGATCACCAGGACCCGTCCGCGATGCCGATTGGGGTGGGTGTTGTGGGTTGACAGGTTGTTGAACCACACAGCCTATAACAAGGGCTAATGGAGGCGTCAAGGAAGGAAGGTTGGTTGAATTGACTGCCTAATTGACCTCTCCGGCGGCTCTGCAGGGCTATTTTTAGTTGCAGCTGCAGTTATATGACATTATTTCTATCCTTGATAAAAGAGGTATAATTATACCTTATTAGCGCTATACTAATCCTTCACTATAAGTTATTATTAACAGATTAACTAACGATTTTCATAGGTAAGAGAGTAAGCTATTATTTTATTCTTCATCTTCAGCATCGAAGCTCGAGAAGTCCTGCCAAACTTCGGGCTGGTAATCTAGTGGAATATTCCAGTCTAGAAGCCCCGTGAACCAGCCACCATCGTTTGTGAGGTTGAGGTCGTCCAAGTTCATTTGCTCCTGCTCAGCTGAGACTAGACTTTCCCCTCTCAAGGGGCTCGGCATAGGCACGGCGATGTTGTCGATATTGTTGCTCGTTAGTGCTGTTGACGCCACGACAGCTGTCTGCGTCATTCCGGTCGAACGCGGCGTTATACAATCAGGCGAGAGCCTTGCTCCGTTCTGCAGAGCACGAGAGGCGACAGTAGCGAGAGCTTTGATAATGTGATACGAGAACGCACTCTGGTGGTTCGGATCGTATCTCTCAAAGAGGGACACAATGTTGTTAATGAGCTGAAGATCCTGGGAAGCTCGTTGGGTTGTTTTATTCTGCAGGATGCTGATGAAGAGGATGTCGACGCTCCAGGCGACTTGATACAGTAGGTATCTGTGTGGCGAGAGAGGTCAGTCGGGGCTTGGGCAGTGAACTAGACTATAGATGAAGCCTACATGGTAAAAGGATGGTTATTCTGGTGGTAATTTAGCAATGAGATGGCCGCCCTCGACGCACCCACGCAGAGGGCAACACTGGGCATAATGGCGCCGCTCTCAGCTTCGCTGCCTTCATCTGCTGCGCGGAGCCGGAACGCGACAGAATGAATGGCAAAAATGAGCTGGAAGTATGTAAAATGCAGCGTGGTTAAGCACATCAGTCTACTATAGTCTGCATCCACCGGTGCCTCTGTCGGCTCAGGCCGGATCATCTCGGGGATGCTGTCGCGCCATTCTTGCAGCTCCCCGTCGAGTTGATCGATCTGCGACTCGGATGGGGTGGTATTTCCGGAGTGGAGAGAGGAGCAGATCCTGCCCTGTATCTGGGCTAGGCGAACTTGCTGACGGAAAAAGTTGAGGGAAACATTGTTGGGATAGTAGTACATTCCATACCCACCGGGAGGATGCTCGTCAGGGAGCTGGAGCAGAAACTTGTCGCCGATGAGTGGAAGCTTCCCCCGTGCGAAGCATCAAGTCATGGTCCACGATATAGGCTTGCCAGAAGAGACGACGACGGTGAAGAGATTCGGCTGCGGTAAGACCAGGATGATCATTGCTACGGTGATAGCCGGACAGCAAAATGGGTTGAACTGTGAGGCTCAAGAGCGTAATAGCAATATGATTTTCCCACGTGAAAACAAAGTAGAGGACCTGGTGAAGTTTCAATACTCTTGCACTCTTTGGGACTGGGGAGGTTTACCATCGACAATAGAGCACCCACGTGAAGTACTGTAGGTCTCTGCAAGATAACATCCTGCACCTTTCCCATCGCATTTTGTAGGTACTTTTCATATTCGAATGAGTTTCCCATGCGGTTTCGTTTGCGCAATGTGTGCGCGAGGATGATTTTGACAGCCATATACCATCCCGAGTCGCTGGGCGGTTGGTCGTAGAAGTAGGCCTGAATGGCGGCTCGTAGTTCGTCTTCCTGGAAGAGGCGTATGTCATGGTTCTGGGCCATGAAGAAGTCTGAATGAACTTGATCAGCTCTTTCCTTGCCAGGCTGTGGTTAGGAATGTATTCCAAACCATTTACACAATCCATAATGACATCGTTCGGGGGGAGAGGATGAGGTGTATTGGATGGACCAAGGATCCGCCGAGTTCCAAGGCTCGGGGTTTCAAGGCTGCTTATGATTCTAGCAAAGCTATCGTCCCCAACAAGACCGTTGATCTTAAGAATGCGCCTAAGCGAGAAGATGGAGCAAGCGCCTATGGATATTGAGTTACCGGGGTATCAAGCCAGCAAGTGGGTGTCTGGCGCATTGAAACCTTACCTGTTGAAGCTGTTCTGGCTTCACTTGCGGCGCCGGAGAAGAACGGCCTTGCTGGCGTGACTGACCCCGAAGCCCCCTGTGCGGTAGTGCGGCAATGTTGATAGTCAACAGAGTCATCGACGTTATTCAAGTTGCTTGTATCTGGGCCTTTGGTTGCGAGATCTGGGGGATCGGTAATCGGATCGCGCTGGAGTTCTTGGACCAACCGTTCCATCTGCGCCAGTCGCGCAACGATGTCCTGGTATGACCTCAATGCGGAGGATGGGCCAAGTCAGCTTGCATGGAGCTGGACGGTAAAGTCTCCCCCGGTGCCGACAAATTCGACGTTGAGGATTCTGGTACTAGGTATCAAAGCGAGGACTATATTAAGTACCCAGCAAGGGAAATAGCTATGTTATCCATTTCCTCTCTTGTTACCGGTAATTATCCTACACCTTAAGAGCAAGCTAGCCTAATTAGGCGCGGGTTCACTGCTGACTTTATATTTGAATACACCGTACTCTTGTCGTCGCTATGATCTTGCGACGTTAAAAAGCAGTATTCTAAGCTAAACCAGCAGCCATTCCAAGAATATCCAAAGGACATAGAGGGTTTTTAGGTCTAGTTTATATCATACAACAGTGATAATGGGAATAGAGGCGTGACTGTGATCTCCAGAGGCTCTGTCAAAATCTAAAGGCAGCGATTTGACGAATCTTCAATCCGGCTAGACACGGTGGTAAATACTAAACGCTAAATGGGCTCAAGCGACTGCGGATGTCGCGAATTGTCGGTCCGAAACTTGCATGAGCGCAAGGCCACGGCTTCACCAATGTGAAAATGGACTGACCGCAGCGCACAGTCACCTGAAAAATGCCACGGACATTCTTGACCATTGTCCGTCCGAAGCCTACGTCACCTACAAATCCATTACTCGACGCTTTCCTTGCGGTTATAAAACGCAGACTACACCCTCCTACGACAATTTTGTATTTCTGTTCGCAGCAAGAGTTGTTCATTTCTGCTTGTTATAATCTCAAGACAGCCACAACTGCGCATCTCACCATGTACCGATACACGAACATCTCCCAACCCTTTGATCAACGCCCGCCCCATGGTGGAATAAATTGGGTTGAAATCCCAGCAGTCGATGTTGCGGCCTCCAAGGTCAGTCGAGCTGAAGTACTAACTAGCATCTTAGCATCTTAAGCTTTGGGGCCACAGTTCCCGCAGATGTCAAGATGGTTCATGTGCTAACTGGCCCTTGGCTCAGAAATTCTACCAGTCGCTCTTTCCGGCATGGAAGTTTGGAAATGGAGCCAGAAATCCCGAAGAGTTTATCAGCTTGTTCAAGATCGAAGAACCATCATGTAAGTTACAGCGCTCTTCTCCCTTTCCTTTCCTTTCCTTTCCTTTCCTTTCCTTTTTTTTCCTTTCCTTTCCTTTTTTTTCTTTTTTTTCTTATAAAAACGCACGAGGTCTGACTAGCGAACCAGACATGGAAGGCGCAATCATCAAAGTCAATCCAAACACCCTCACTGCCAGCAACAATTCACAGACAAACAACATTGGCATGGTGGTGTATTTCCTTGTGGACTCTTTGACGAGGTAAGCTTAGCCAAGAGACAATTTGCTTGTTTTTACTGACATGACCATGTCAGATGCATGCTAAAATCCTTGATCTTGGTGGAGAGGTGTGCCTCGAAAAGACCGACGCGCGTGGTGATGGCTGGTATGCGAAATATTTGGACATTGCCGGTAATGTCTTTTGCATCTACGAGGTGGCATTTAAGGCGTAGGAAGTATAGGGACGACTTTTTCTATAGCTTCCCCAATCAGCATTTTGCGGTCAACTCGAGGACAAACTCATTTCATCAAGCTGTGAGAACTTCAAGACAGTCCAAGTCAATCATTGTAACACTGTATCTCGACCTAAAATGCAATTACCATGCCATCCCACGCTTATTCAAGTACTCCATTGGTCCTCGTAGCCGCCCGCATTTATTCACTTCCCAACTCTGGATCTTTCTTGGAATTTGGACCATTGGCCTCGGATACACCATTGAGGGGATCGACACCTGTCACTGTTGGAAGAATGCCCGACTCTTGGTTTATCATATGATGCTAGACTATATTAGTGGGAAGTTTTGAAATACATCGTGTTGGCACTAACCTCAATATTTACTACTGGTCCCTTGAACCATTTGTGCGCGTCAATGAAGAACCAAAGAATAAGGAAGAGCATCGGAGCGCCCTGGTGTACGGTTAGTGTGACTTCTGGTTGGGAGTAAGGGAACCCTCTACTTCTTACATAGACCAAAGATGTCCAGTTCATCATGCCAGGCGTCAGATTATCTCCCTTGACGACGGGGAAACATAAAATCGGTATCATGACGAACACAAAGACCGAAGATAGAATTCCACACGGGATACTGAACCTTCCGAGATGCCAGGGCCCTCGTCGGAACTTGTTCCCAACGAAGACAGTCTTGATAAAGATGGGAGTAGTGAAGGCAACAAACGATGCCACCGCCCCGATGGAGAATACGGCACTTATTGCCACACCCCCAAACATGAGCAGATTAAGCAACACCCCGATCAGCGTGTTGAACCAAACGGCGTTGACTGGGGTCAGTGTTCGTTTGTTCACCTCCTTGAGGCGGGGGCTTAGAACGCCAAAGCAATCGTCCCTGGCATAAGCGAAGCAGACGCGGCTAGCTGCCACCATACAGCCTTGGCCCATGGAATATGCACAGATAATTGTCAGCGCAAGGAGGGCGACGGCGGTCTTCTCCGGAAGAACCTGCAGCAAGTAAGCCGCCCAGGGTTGTCCCTAATGAAGAAGTGTGAGCTCTTGCAGTCGATGTTCTTCTGAAACTAGCTTACAAGATCACTCTCCATCGCTGCCGTGACATCGGTGATGGTATATGCGATTATCAAATTGAGAAAGAAGCCCAGGATAGACCCTGAGAGTGCTGTCATGATAATGGATCGCGGCGTGGCTATAGCTGCATTGGAGCACTCTTCGGCAAGATGAAAGGAGGCATCATATCCTAGGTATAATTAGGCAAAGTTGTAGCAAGAAAGAGACGTGTTAAAGAATGGTTTGGGGTGTGTAGCCGAGTAATGGTGCATTGTGCCTACCAGACATTGTCCAAATGATGGCCAGAAAGCTCATCATGAGAGCCACGCCATCTGGGAAATCAGTCATATTTTGGATTCCCCACGCGACCTCATTCGGCTGGAACTTTGGGCTCGTGATGGCTGCGACAGGAATGGTAATGATAACAATGGCGAGGCAGATGATGTTGACAATCGTGCCGACGGAATTGAACTTGGCGATCCAGAGTGTTGGCATGCTGCTCAAACATGCATGTGACAGCATAATGAGGGTTGTCAGGAGATATGTTTGCCAATCCGTAGGGACGTATTCTGGGTGCATAATGGAAGCAGTTGCCAAAATCATGGAAGCTTCAGAAGGTGTAAGCCTCAGTATCCTCAAATGTTCTACTATCACCACTTACCACAGCCGTAGTCTACACTTGGTGCTCCAGTAACTTGCACAAGCCAGTTGCTCCAGCCAGTGATCCATGCTGCAAGGGGTCCGTACTTTGGGCCTGCCAGGACAGCTGCCGCATAGTATAGCCCACCCGAGGTTGGCATGCTCGAGGATAGCTCTGCCATGGAGGCGGCGATCTTGATTGCAGCGTTAGTTTAAATCCTGGAAGGCGAGAGAGAAAACTAACACATAGGATGAAAATGACGGAGATGATCCATCCCCAGGTATTTGCGGCTGGGCCAGCTATTGCATTTCCATCAGCTTCCAATCAATGGGGTTATACGAGGCGCGCACCTACCGTAGCCAATACCATACGACATGGTGGTGGCGATACTAGGAAGCAGGCCCATCACGGCGAAGCTGACAGCAAACGTGGTCCAAGCAGAGAACTCCCGTTTGAACTCCTGCTTGTAGCCGAGTGCGGCCAGCGCCAACTCGTCTTCCGAAGCGCCGTCGACATTGTCTGGCACGTCGCCCGGGGCGAGGACACTGGTTACCAGCGGAGCGCGGGAGTACTCGGAATCCGGCGCCATCTGGGGTAGATGGCGGTCAAAACACCAAAGGTCAGTGTGGCAATGGAGGGCCGTCGGATACTGGGTGATTCAATCGGTTCCGGCTTGGAAGGGCGTGGTTGAGTACGAGGCTACTGATCAAGGCTGGTGAGGGGAAGCTTCGAGCTGCACTTCTCGGCTGGGGCATGGGAGATTATCTTGCAGCCTCACCGGTCCAGCACAGTCCTCCCTCGCATACACCACTGATACGACCGACATGTCTTGGGTCTGCAGGTGGCTGGCTATCTTGGAGAGACATGCTTCTATTGGCGGGGGACAGGCCAGATAGCGCAAGACTCCGCACTCAGACCACAAATGGACGACGACAGACGATCTCTTATCTCCCAATCAGAAGCAGTGACCTCCCTTTGACCCAGACTCGAGTCCCCTCACGAGTCACGGCCGTGGGAAATGGTGTGTGACTTATCAGACACTTTACGTAACCGAGCCTTGACTTTGCCTGAATAAACCATCATCAGCTGACTCGACAACAGAGTCTCACCTTGAACAAACGTGACCATCATCGCCATCTCCAGAATGCACGTCCCCGGCACTTGTACCGAAGCCAGATGCTCCCGCGGCAATGCCTCCACCAAGCGGGGCGACGCGACTCATCCTTTTCTCATTGATAGCTTCTGGGTTGAGTGTCAGCTCATCGCCTCAATGTGCGCAGTATCTAGACCTAGAGTTCTCAAGGCTCGTTCCCTTCTTGCACCAGTCACTTTCGCAATGTTCTTGCTGCCATGCTGCTGCTTCTTGTGTGACGGCAATAGAATGAAACCAATAAGCATGCGAAGCTTGGATTGTCAGGTCACATTGCCTCAGCTTCTTATTAAGCGCAATTTGCGAGATGAAATCCGACATATCTCTCTCGTCCAGTCGCCGATGGCCAACAATCTTACGCATCTCCCAGTTTCCCTGTAGTGGTGTCAGAATCCTTTCAGATAAAAAAAAAACCGTAGGTCGTGAAATAATAGCATCAATATTGTGACATATTTCACCTAAGTGATCTGGCGCAGGGACTGACAATATTGGCTGCTCAGAGCTCTCTAGTTCTGCACTCATTATAGCCCGGTTATTTTAGTCACCCGTCTCTTCCCCTCTCAGTTTCACCATAGCCGTGAATTTTATTTAGTCCAGAGACAGAAATTCCCTCCCCTAAATGACCTCTTCCATGCAACTTCCTGAAACAATTGATCCCGACCGTCAGCAAAATTTCGCACCGCACCCAATAACAACTATTACTTCGGTAGTCTAGATCCTGTTTCTTGGCTCTTTAGGCAGCCGCGGGGGCGATGAGCCAAAGTACAAAAGAAGCTCATCATGCACATTTTAAAATGCGCGAAATTTAATCAACCCGCGTTTATATTCGGAACCATCTGAAAGCAATTCGGTTGCCAACATAGGACAACAAAATGCCTGAAGACAACAACGAAAAGTCCGACAACGGCGAGTCTGAGAACAGCTGGTCCGACGGTGACTACGAGCGCTACGAGCTCGAGGCACTCGCTAGGATTCCTACCATGCCACAGGAGGTGCAAGACCTCATCTGCTCATTCTGCGACTTGTACTCTCGCGTCGCGCTCTGCGCACTAAACAAAGAATGGAATGCCAGGATCACACCTCTTCTCTGGGCGGAACTCGATTTCGCCGACGAATTCGAGGACGAAGACCTGGTCGAGAGAACGCGCAAGTTCTTCGCCGCGTGCGATACAATGATTGACGAGTCGCCAGAGCGGTTCGCAGCTCTGGCCTCCTACGTCCAAACACTGAACTTGGGAAGACTGCACGGGGTTAACATTGTCCATCAAAAATTCGACGGGAACCCCTACGTATTTTTCGACGACGGTGATGGGGGAAGGTGTGTATTTGATGTGATTGCGCGGTTCGTCAACCTCCAATCACTGTCAGTATACGTGAAGAGCTGGTGGGAGAGTCCTAATCTCGCAGCAAGCGGCAGGGCACTCGCCCGTGGACTTACCAAATTGACGTCTTTGAAGCTTGGAGGCCAAATGTCAACGGACGTCTTGCTGGGCCTGTTGAACAAGCCGGAACAGCTCAAAGACCTCACTCTGATAAATCTGATCGAGACCCCAGGTCAGGACTATGGCCCTGACGGTATTGCCTTTCTATCGGGAATTAGCCATCGCTTCACTAGCCTCGAGACATTGCATCTGTGCAAGCTTGCGGACGTGGACGGGCGGCTCTCGGACGATGAGGACAACAACGATGAGGACGACAACGATGAGGACGACAATCGAAGAGAGTACGCCTCTGGAATGCGGTGGAGATTCCCCCGAGAATCCGAGGTCTCTGTCCTGGAGGATTGGGCCTCGATACTTCAAAATACATGGAAAACCCTCCAGTCACTGACATTGGAGAATCGCTACCTTTGCAGCTATAACTTTGATCGCCGCTATGACTCTGTCATCGACCCAGGAAACACCCATCCCGCCGATTATGGAGCCTTTTCAATCCGAGAAAGCCAACGAGTGCTCTTTCCGGAACTTTCGAACCGCCGGTGGCCGCGGCTGTCGAACTTGACACTGATCGGTATGGGCACGGTCGAAGATGTGAGCCAGGCAGTTTCTCATCTTGAGCCACGAGTTCACGTCGAGCAGCGGCCGGCTCACACTGAAACTATGGGAGGGGATGCCACCCCGGAGGAAATATCGACCCCTATTGAGTTTACATACATCTTGAGTCATGAAAATATTACATATGAATGAGCAGATAGTACAAATAAAGTATCCACCATTGTTTCTTCCTGTCAATACTACTGGGTGCTTACGGCGTCAAGGACTCACGGCTAGAATCTAACGGCCTCTTCAATAAGATACTCAATTGCTAACAGCAATTTGAGAAGATAAGTTGACGCTATACTCGGGGACCATTTGACCTAGGCCATCGGCACAGTAACCTTTAAACCATAGGCGAATTGCATGAATTTGTTTCACCCTTTTCATTCACAGCCAAGAGGTTCAATGCTGGAGCATAAGATGAAACTTCATTCTTGATATCTTATCAGACTATGCGAAGGGCTTAGCTTGTGATAGGATTGAGGGACTCTTCTCCCTAACACCATCATTAAACTCTGGGCAAAGCAAGGAAATAATTGATTTACCACTCGTAAGCATGTACCTATGTTAAGAAAGAAAAACGACTAGGCTAACGTAAACACAAACATTACGGGGCCGTAAGTGACATAACCACCTTGACATAGTTTTTAAAAGTAAAAAAAAAAGAACCAAAGACCATCCCAAAAGCTTAGCAAATACCTCACGCCAAGATCTTTGTTGCTACATTCATGATAGACAAACACGCTGGAGCAAATATTAACGATGAAGCCTTCACGTTGGCTCTAGTATTCATAGTAGCGGGCAAAAGAAACTGAAACCAATTCCCCTTCAACTGTTTTCCTTCAAGTGACGCAATAACCCTCCTCCAAGAGCTCTCACTCGTAGGTGCGTTACTCACACTGCAAAATTCTCAGGATACCACCCAGAATAAAGTCGTCTTCACACAATAACATACAAATTCTTCTTGCGGGAAGGCCTCTGGGATTCCATCTTAGCTACTGCTTAGGTACGTAAGAAGTCCGAATATAAGGTTAACAAAACCAGTAATGCAGATGCCAGACCCGACATCTCAACCCACTGAATAGCTGTTGCTTCGTTATCCTCCCTTTCTGTACCCACATGCAATGTAGTGAGGGGCCAACGCCGATTCTAGTCCCACTTGATTGCTTGCTGTGGACAATCCCGTTTTCCGGCGAAGTGGCGCTTGGGTAACTGCTAACTCCAAAACTCAGTTCAAAGTGACCCCCACGCATCTTTTGAGTTAAGGGACATGTCAAAGGCGCCCCGCGTAGACCAATTGGTCTGGGTTTGTCCGTATTGGCAGGGTGATGGTACCTTGTCTTGCTCTTATTAGAGGCCGAGAGGCACTAAATCAAGTTGTGCAACAAGACATATGGCAATAAGATTTTACTTTAGATCAATATATATGACTTAAGGCTCCATCATAATGCAATTGCTGTGTGAGAAGGGTCATATCGCCGGGATATTAACAACCTTGCCCCTTCCAAATACAAACGTTAAGTATCAATTCGTAGAGGGCCTCTCAAACCATTGCACAGGATATCTTTCATTATTTCGAGTTACGAACCAGTATAATCATCCGAGAGCAGAATTGACTTGTTGGATATCAAGGGACATCACCAGTCATTTGGAGTAATCCCAGTGATCCTTGAAGATGTGTAGTCCCAGGGGAGCGGCCATCACTCCACTGTATGCTCGTGGGTGATTCATCCTCGCCCCCTTCCCTTGTTCACTCGACTCCTGATCGGTAACATTGGGGACTTGGTAAACTGAGAGAGCGCCGCTAAGGCTGCGCTATGAAACTTTGCGAGGGGAAGCCAAGTTGACCCCCACGCCAGTCTGCTTCATCTCTCTCCGCAATGATCTCCACACATCCACCTGTCCCCATTCCCGCCTCCACATGCAACCAGCTGACGACTTGGGTTATGCCGCCCGCTGGCCAATGTTCGGCCCATAAAACCAGGAGCCCCCCAAAAATTAGAAGCATGGCTTGAATCTTAACCTTCAAAATTGCCCAGTATTATCCATCTCCAGCAAAATGCCACAGGACGTTCTTCTCTACGGTCTTGGAGCGTAAGTCAGCGTTACAAAACTAGAATGGCATGTTCAGACACTTATCAAGATGCAGCATTGGCTCGTTCTACGCCTTCATCCTCAGCCGCAACGAAAATGTCAGGCTCTCGGTCGTCGCAAGGTCAAACTACGAGGCAGTAACGGCGAACGGTTTCAAAATAGTCAGCGAGAATCATGGCGAACACACAGTCAAGCCCTTTCAAGGTGAGGAAATGATCCAGATGACAGCCCAACTATATGTAGAGATGCAGCCCTAATTCTGATTCGTGGACTAGTTTTGAAACATCCTTCTGAAGCCAAGACCACCTTTGATTACATTGTTTGCGCACACAAAGCCATCAATCAGTCCACAGTACCCGAGCAACTCGTATCCTGCGTCGATGAGAAAAAGACAACAATTGTCATAATCCAGAACGGGGTCGGCAATGAAGAACCATTCCGACAGCGCTTCCCATCCACGACGATCATCTCCTGTGTGGTCAGTATCCATTCAGCTTTAAACTCCATTTTCCACTTCTACAGAAGCTAACCAAAGCTACAGACGTGGGTTGGCGCCCGTCAATCCCAACCAGGCGTTATCGCTCATACAAAATCAGAAGACATGCAGATTGGTATATTCCCTACCAATGGCGATGACTCTGATCGCGACGCAGGGCGCCTGGAGGAGTTCTCAAATCTACTCACGACAGGGAAGACCGTATTTCAGGCTGTCCCAGATATCCAGCTCCTGCGCTGGGAGAAGGTCGTCTGGAACGCGGCGTGGAACAGCCTCACCACACTGACGCTCATGGACACACACAGCTGGCTTGCCTCTCCTGATGCCGAAACATTGACACGGCGGCTGATGACCGAGGTCATCAACGTTGGAAAGGCCCTGGGTGTGGCGCTAGATTACGATCTCATTGACACACTTGTTAATAAGATCAAGGGAATGCCTCCCATTGGCAGCAGTATGCGGACAGATTATGAAAACAGCAAGCCAATGGAGGTAGAGATCATTCTCGGCTACCCGGTCCGAAAGGGTAAGGAGCTTGGGATCAATATAGCCACTGTCGAGACGATTTATGTCATCTTGACCGCCGTCAATAGGAGGCTCATGAAGATATAGATAGACTACAGTAATATATAGTCTCAAATCTCAGGATCTTTCCTTTACAACCCGAGTGGATGCTATATCGTAATCTTGCAATGATCGAAAGGCAATCATCCCCAAACAGAAAGGCGAGAGCCTAATACTGGCAGTAATATGCGGATTATGTATGCCCTTTCTCCATGGTCAGGTTGCTAACCACGCTTCGCATGGCGGGCAGAATATATGACCCCCACGCTTCGCAAATTTCCACACCGTGTCACACTATGGAGTCCATCCATGATGACCCATCAGCCGTAAGAACTAAATTACAAGCGCTCACTAACTTTCTGCCCTAATAATCACCCCTGGTCTACCTTTAGGCCAAGCTGCAAGGGCCAGATCCTCTTTCCACATGCTTCCCCGTTTCGTACATCTGACAACATTCTACGCGGCTCCTAAGGCTATTGTAGCAATGTTCATAGAGACTTTAAATCGGCATGTCATAGAAATTCGGTCAAGATTAGCTAAACTAAGACATTAAGTCAACAGCTTATAGTCGTTGCTGGCAAAGAAACCGCAAGAGTTTTCTTACGCCACGATTGATTTCGCCTCCCACCAAGTAGATTATACGGACAGATCCCAGACCCTTAGTATACATAAACAAACTCATCATTCTGGGAGTCGGTCAAATCATCAAAGGCATTGGCGCCCAACTGAGGTCCATTCTCGCCATCTTCGTTGTGGGTGCTCACATAACGATGCTCCATGCTAGAATCGTGGAGCTTGGCAGGCTTGCCGTTGGCAACGCGCTTTCGTTCTTGCATCTTGTTCAGGAAGAAGATGTTGACAACCTGCAAGCCGATAGCAGCAATGAGGGCGCAGGTGATTCCCATCGTCTTCTGCAGCCCGGGCTTATAGTATGGCGCGTCCTGGGCGTTGAACAAGAGGGGCCCGATGATGTTGCCTGCCGAGACACCAATGTTGAAAAAAGACAGCAGCACTGATTTCTTGGTAGTACCAGCGACGTTGGAAATCATCCACGAGACCAGAAGCGGGTTGGCGCCGAAGAGGAACGCAAGCATGTAGTACGCTGCCAGCAGAGGCGGGATGTAACTTCGGTTCAAGAAGTATAACATAAGCGCTCCAGCAAGAACAGGAAGCAAGACGAACTCGAGGAAGGGAGACTTGATGCGGAAGCGATGGGCCATATAGGAGGCAGGCAATATCACAAGTAGCTGGACAGCGCCGAAGGGAATATTCAATAGCGATGTAACTTCAGCATCAAATCCGAAGCCCTTGATGATAATGGGACCAAAAGTGTTGGTGACGTTGGCTGTTACATTCAAGCACAAGGCCATTCCAACGAACAGAAGGCTCTTGGGTTCATACAGAGCCTCAAAGGCCTGCTTCCACTTGAAGTTCCGGGAGCCGGTACCGGTCTGGTTTGCCCGCAGTCTTTCGAGAGCTTGCAACTTTTCGTGCTCGGTCAAGAAACGCGCAGAGGGAACGTCGCTGTCAATGATGAAATAGATGACGGGGGCCGTGAGGACGGTGATTAAGCCAACAAAGATGAACAGGATTCGCCAAGATGCGATCGACCCGTTGATCTGACCAAATCCGAAGGAGACTGCTGCTGCAAACATGGTTGCAAGCCCATTGGTGCCGTACCACATAGCAACGCGGATCGGCTGTTCAGCTCGGCGGTACCACTGCGATGTTATCACAGAGAAAAGAGGCAGGCAAGCAGCTTCAAAGAGGCCAAGCAGGAAGCGGGTTGCAATCAGGCCCCCGTAGTTGTGGCAAGCTGCCATGCAGGCTTGAGCAGATCCCCATCCAAAGACGAGGCAAGGCATCAGAATACGGTGGGGAACTTTGACCATGAGCCAAGACGAGAACGGTAGCCAGACCAACTGCGCAATGGCAGAGATGGAGCTGACCATCGAGTATTGGTTGCCCGTGAGGTTGCAGTCTTCCCTGAGACCAAAGATGGCGCCATATCCCAGGACGGATTTATCGAGAATCTGGAGGAAGTACACCCAGACAAGAATTGATAGAATGTGTTTGTCGGTCTTTCGTCGAATTCGTTTATTCTACACACGGGATTCAAAATCAGTAATGGGTCAGTCTGGCTGGACGACGCGTACTCACATCTTCCTCTGTAAGCTCAATATGCTGGTTGCCGATGAGGTTTGCAGCTCTATCGGCTCCTTTGTTTTCCGGATGGACATTCTTAAGGTCAACATCGGCCTCTTCTTGATGCTGTGAGGCGGTCATGTCGGTTTTGGAAACCTCAACCATGATGACCAAAGGGTAGATATCCGATAGATTGGTGTATTGTGACTGATGCGCCAAAAGAGAAAGGGTTCCTGTGAGTTGCCTTCTTCCAGACCTGACACGGATTGATGAAGGTTTCTTGGATCTTTATATTCTTGGCTGGCATGGCATAAGGTTCAACCCCCACGACCAGAAGCACGTGGGGGTTGACGTTCATAACCCCCACGAAAGTGACTTCCCTTGAGCGCCCAGACGAGAATCCGGGGTCTGCTTGCCGCGAAATTCGGCCCATCATGCGGGGAATTCTTCAGCCCCAGGCTAGTGACGTGCTCTCGTACCAATCCGTGAAGCTAATGTATGGTCTAGTCGTATGTGAGGGGTTGGTTCATGGACAACCGGAAAGCCTGCCCCAGGCTTCCAAAGGAAGTGTTCCGCGCGCTACTACCCTCGTGCTAAATCCGAAGGGCATGATGAGCGCGCCCGCACTGTGATGAGTTTTCCTGCCATTAGAGCCGAGGTAACCGGCACGCGAGAGCGCCGGGTTCTGCTTCAATTACTGAGTTAGCATCCATGTGTCAATCACGCTTATTAAAGCTTTTACCATGCTAATTATCTTAGGCCAGTGAAGAGAAGAAATCTGAGAATAAATTCATTCTCCTTATGCTTGACAACTTCCCTTCACCAGCCAGAACGCTGTACATGGCTCACTCCACAGAGATCTTTTGGTGAACATCACACGTCACCCGTAAATTGGAGGGTGAGCTGAACTGCGGGGAAAAGGCCCGTCTGTATGTCATGAGGAGGTGCTAGTCTCCATGGATACTACCAACAGGAGAGCAATACCTGTTCTCAGCTCCACATCATGACCCCGCTGTACAGTCTGTCCACGGGGAGAACGGGGAGAAAGAAACACGCTACATATAGCCTAGCTCCGGCCCACTGTGTCTGACTCAAGTTGCTCGCTGTGCCAGAATTCAGGAGTTACTGTACAACGGTCCAGCCAGGGAGATCCTGGATGAGGGCGCAAAATATTTATCAAAGTAAAGACATCGATGTTTGATGAACACGCCGAAGACCCATTTCAGAGTAGGTAACGGTTGTCTGCTAGTATTGATGCAAAAGAATTGGACACACTCTAGGTCATTTTTGCACATAGTGACTATGAAGCAACCCCACCTTGGAGACGACTCCACGAGAGTAAGCCCCAGAATCAGTCCCCCGTAATTCTCCTCAAAATTTCAAGCAAAAGGAGAGGACTAACCCTCCGTAAATGCTGGGGGAAAGTGTCGGTCTGCTCACAACCCTTCCAGTCCGGGTTAGTTGTGTCTCCTCGACCCGCACCAAGGATTAGCCCGGCCACTATTAATTGCACTGTGTGGAAATCCTGACAGATGGGAAATGTCTGTCCATCGTGTAGAGGCTGGTGGGCACCGTTAGGTGAACTCTATCTGTTCCAGTGCTGGCAGATTTCGATCCATCTGATGGGAAACCATCGCTTCATCCAGGACAGGACATTGAATCTAAAGTAGTCTAACTGTGGGACGTCAGAAAATCAACAGTGAGAAGCTTGTCAATTGACTTATGAACTTATGATGTGCGTCTAATCACTTGCATAGCATCCCCAAGTTTGACCCCCACGTTTCTCATCATTGAATACGCCGACAGGGATAATGCTTTGATCAATCTGTCATTTACTCCACAGCTGAAGAGAAATTGCCCGAGTTCTGAATTCACGCACACACTGCGAGGCCACACGGATGCCCAAATCTGAAGCTGTACCCCTCATGGCGCGCGTTCATGAACCAGTCAAGCAGGAACACCATCTACGTGTCTCTGGCCGGAGGAAGCCGCTAGCTTTATCACAACCAATTTCGATATCTTGGAAAGAGGATCCCCACACCACATATGGGATAAGGACCACTGGAATATGAGGACGTGGGGGTACACTTGTAGCCCATCGTTTGGAGAGTCTCAGCCCTGTAGCACAAGTCAAAAATCTGTCGACCTATCTTCAGTCAACATTGTGATGGTTCTCCTCCATTACACGATCGGCTCAGTCGATCACAGCATGATCTCGACAAGTAACCTTGTTTCAGCCTTACTAAAAACCTAACTATGGTTGAAACATCGGCTTTCATGAGCAAGAGGCAGAGTTGCGCCTCTTTTGGTGTTCTTGGACGATTTTCAATGGGCTCTGGGCGTATCAGTACAACTTGGCCCGCTCTGGCCAGGGATATGAGAGGACCTGAAGAGTAATTCTCCTATGGCAGAAATAGATATCATTAGGTGGAGATATCAGGGGTTGCTCCAATGCTGTGATTAATAAATATACCTGTCTTGGCAGGGCACCGGGCTAGTGAAATGACTGTAATCAAATGGATCCGTAGAAGCATTCGTCCGTGACTACGAGCCAAGCGCACACTACTTGGAACAGATGAATAAAGGATCAGGAGCTGGACTGAGACCGGGGCGATGACCCCTGGGTCCAATGGCTCTTTAAAGTCTGGTCAGAGAGTGGTTGGTACGATCTTAGAACTTGACAACCTCTTAGCCCCGTTGCCTCGGTAGCTATTCTAAATCCCCAATTCTTTTGGATATTTGCATTCAGCGACTCATGCTTATCTCCGGCCTCCAGGTCAAAAAAATAACAGTCAACTAATTAAACACAAGCATCAGTGATAGGAAGTGATAGGAGGTACAAAAGCCTAATCTATTCAGTTGCAACACAGTTAAAACATGGAGCAAGCAGACCACCTATTCTAGTAGAGGCCGGACGATGATGAGACTCTATCGACCAGTCATATGTTGCGTACAGCACCATCCTAGCCACATTGAATAGATTTTGAGGTCAACGATTATATTTCAATTGGAGAGTCCCGTATAACACTAGAGATACGACTATCAAGACCTAGATAAAGTGTATTGGAATCTACCTTTGTCCAGGATTGATTCATCACATGACAATGAGGATGGCATCATGTCTCGTCGCCACCAAAAACTCTTCATACCCTCTCTTAGTCAACAGGAACGCAGGTACATATGCGGAATTTGCAATTGCAGACCAGGTCAAATTATCCAATAGTGGTCAAACTTTCAGGTCATCTTAGTGGACACATATTCAAAACAGCTCAAACGTTGAGCTATACATGTCAATCATATGATTGCCATTTGTTCTCTCTTGATACTAGTAACTTAGATCACTGTAGCCTTTACAAATGGCTTCACACCGACATTCACGAAACTCCAAGTTTTGTAGGCGTTTTGTCATCAGCTGTGATGCGGAAATGTATTCCGACTAAACCAGGTCAACACGATCCTGTGATGGGCAATGAAACTATCTGTTAAAGGGCCACTATTCAAACGGAACGTTATATGTCGGAAGAATCAATTCACACTATGTGAGATCGGCCTTTAACCTATGCCAAGACACCTAGATAGATAAAAGGCGGCGTCGGACCTTATCATCACACACATTCAATGCGGGTAAGGTTTGCCAACCAACCCCCACCATCACAGGCCGTAGATCCAAGAGGTGCCAATTGCGATGTCAGTTTCTGTTAAGGGAAGGGATGCTACGAAGCTATGTAGTTATAACCAACAACGACCACGTGATTCATTTGTCTTTATTACTTAGTGGGAACTCCCGCATATGATCAATCGAATGAGACTATCTAAGTCTTCGGACGAGCCGAATTAGAGGCAGAATAACTAGGTCAAGATCACAATTCTCAAAGGAAAGGTAGAATATTTGGCAGCAATTATCGAATTGAAATTGGCTGGGCAGGTAACCTAACTCTTATTCCGACGACCGCAACAGCCTACACACCCAAGGTCAGACCCACGTGCTCTCAAAATAGCAGCTATTCGAAGTTTCAACATCGATTATTTGTTCATTATATGCAGTCAAAATAAAACTCACGAAGCGGCCGGCTACGGACTCTCACACAGATCTCTCTTAGTGGCCAGCTAATAGAGTGACTGATCTTAGCTGCTTTCATCTGAGCCTCACAAATAAATATTTGACCACGTCTGATAACTAAATTAAGGGATGAAGTTAATCAATCATTATATCTACTGGCAGCAACATTGGAGACCTTGTTTCTAACCGTTCATGGTGCTAATGATGATGATGAGATTGTCTGGCCCATTGCGTCCTTTCAAGGGCAAAGGGCGTCCAGCTACATATCCAAACGGGTAAGATACAGGTAAGTTTCCATTCAGAAAGCGTTCTATGTCTACTTTGGTGCAGTTTCCCAAGAAGGCGTCAAAAGCCAGCGGATGCCGTGTAGGTTCATCGATCCAGACAATGGGCGCTTCGTTATAGTCAGACGTGTATCCCATCAACTAGCTAACGGCTTCATATTTTTTCGATTCAAGCTCCGCCTTCGACTGGTTTGCTTCGTAATTCCTTTGAGTTCAGAGGGCCCTCGCAGATAATATTAAGCGCCGTAAACAGAATAAAAAAGTATCGAGATGAGGGTCCCCTGTTCAGAAGCAGACACAGTACCGAGTTGGACTTCTCGGTGAGACCAGAATGCAAATGGGTAGCATCATAGACATAAGGAAAAAATGAGTGCTTTTTAATATATATAGGTCTCGCAATGCTGATGTATTAAAATTAAATCATGGATGGAGGCGTGCCATTTGGTTGGCTCACCCGAGATGGGAACGATGTTGAACACCCTAAAGCTAGCACAAGTGAATTGCAGTTTATGGTCATGGGAGAATAATGTGGCCAGATTTAGCTTAATCTAAAGCGAAGGTCTGTAAAGTCAAATAAAAATCAGTTTCGTGCCTTTCTAACAGGCTATTTATTGGGATGAATATACGTCTTTAGCTTTTCCCATCAATGTTCAAGAGGTATGGATGTATCTTAGCCTTCAACAATATTCAAATCTATACAGGAAGAGAAGATTTAGAAAACTTGCATCTTATATCAACATCCTGTGTTCTGCCCCCCTGCGGAGTCTGTCAAAAATGCGTAGGTATTCATCCTCCTGATGTAAAACCCATCAAAGTACATT